TGCGTGTGTGCGCGCGTGTATGTGTGTGTGTGTGTCCCCAGACCTCCAAGGTGTTTTCACATAGCTTTCCCCAGTTTGGCTTGCGAAAGGGGCTCTAGCTTGGTTGATGATTGGTGCCTCGGGAGGCCACTTTGCTTGGTCCTCAGAGGTTCCCGGGGCTCCTCGGGTTCCTCGGCTCCTTCGGGCTCTTCGGGTTCCTCGCGCTCCCCGCGCTCCTCGGGCTCCTCGGCCTCCCTGGGTTCTTCGGCTTCCCCGGATTCCTCAGGTTCCTCGGGTTCCAATTGGGTTCCTCGGGTTCCTCGGGTTCCCCGGGTTCGGTGTTCCTCGAGATGGTCCCCCATGGGGAACCATCCCGTGGAACCTGCAGGTTCCTCGGGTTCCCCGGGTTCCTCCGGTTCCTCCGGTTCCCCGTGTTCCTCGGGTTCCCTATGGTGTCCTTTGGTTCCCCAGGTTCTGCGGGTTCCTCGGGTTCCCCGGGTTCCCCAAGCAATCTCAAGCAATGCCAAGCAATGCAACACAAAGCCAAGCAATTCCAAGCAATAACAAGCAATGCCAAGCATTGCCAAGCAATACCAAGCAATACCAAGCAATGCAAATCAATGCCAAGCAATACCAAGCAATACCAAGCGATGCAAATCAATGCCAAGCAATGCCAAGCGATGCCGAGCGATGCCACGCAATACAGCAATGCCAAGCGATGCCACGCAATGCAACGCCAAGCAATGCCAAGCTATGCACAGCATTACCAGTCAATGCCAAGCAGTGCCAAGCAATATCAAGCAATGCCAAGCAATGCCAAGCAATGTCAAGCAATGCCAAGCAATGCCGAGCGATGCCAAGCAATGCCAAGCAATGCCACCCAATGCAACACAATGCCAAGCAATTCCATGCAGTGCGCCCCTAATTGGGGTCGCGCTGGGCCCCGGGCTGATTGTTCGATATGGTGCCCAGAGTCGTCAACAGAAACGACCCGTGATGAAAAGCCAGCCACTGGTGAAGGGTCGGGGCTTTGGGGGACCTTGTTTTGGAAAAGAACAATACGTTGGATGTCTGGGTCCACTTGCCCGTCCTCCCGTCCTCCTCTCTGGACTCGGCAGTGAGTTCCGCAGTATCCTCGCGGTGGGCATGAGGAGGATCGCAGAGAAACACAACCGCGCAATCAAGTTCCGCGCGGATTTCTTGGATTTCTTGGATCTGGGCTGACCCCCCCCTCGCGGCGTCTCCGGCGCCGCACTTGGCGCGCTCCGCGCGCCAGGGGAGTGGGGTCCAGCGACGATTCGAGAAGTCCGCGCGGAGCTTCAACAGTTTTTGTTGATGCAGCTGCTTCTACTGGGCGATGGCGAGGAGAGGCAGCCGGGGAGAGAAACCAGGAGGAGGCAGGGGGCAGGTGTGGGAGCAGGAGGAGAAGAGGGAGGTATTTGGGAGGCTCCCGGACTTGTGAACACCATTCACCATCTTGAAGTCGACGTGATGATCAAAACGTCGGCGATGATGTCCCGATCGGCCTTCTGTGGGGGCCACGTGGGGAGGGGCGAAGGAAGGAGGGGGAGGAGGAGTCGGGGCGCAAGGGACGGGGGTCAATACAAACGCGGGTCCATCAGAGCGCCAGATCCTTCAGGGCCTTGCAGAGCCAGGAGTGCATTGACACGGGTTTGGGTGCGGACCCTGCAGGATCTTGCAGGATCCTGCAACGCTGCAAAGCCTGGCTGACCTGGGTTTGGATTGACCTGGTTCAGTGCGTCCCCGAAGTGGATGCGGATTTGGAAGGATGCGTCCCTGTCGGTTTCCAGCGGGATCTCACGGTTTTCGGCAGGGGGCGTTTGAACGTTGTTGGATGTCTTTCGGAGGCAGGTTCTGGAGCCTGATATAAAGCTTCAAGAGGGGAATATGTCTTGGGTTCGAGTGTCTTGCAGTGGCTAACGTTTAGAGTAATTCTATCGTCCCTCACTCTCTACCAACATCTCCTTGGCATCGCCTGGACGTGTGCATTTTTCCTTCGACGAGGACCATCGATGAGCATCCTTGATCATTCTGCGAAAAGACCACGCACAAAACAAAAAAAACACAGGGAATGGACGTCCGAGCGATGCCCAGTCCACCATCTCACCTCCACCTTCTTTCCAGCTCTCCGCACCTCTGCACCGTCTGTATCTTGTTCCAGAGACCGTCCAGCTCTGTCAGGCGACGGGGCAGGGGGGGGGCATTCGCCCTTCGCTCATTCGTCCTCCTTCCTCCTGGCATCGCTCGGACGTGTGCATCTGTTTTCTCGGCGAGGACCTTCGAGGAGCATCCTCGACCATCTGGCGAAACAACCACGCACGAAACCAGAAAAAGAAACACAGGGAATGGACGCCCGAGCGATGGCCAGTCCTCCCCCCTGTTCTATTCGCCTGCCCCTCCACCCCCCATGCGCGGATCTGCCGACGAGGCCGCGTAGGCGGGATAATCGCACTTCGCACATCATCCGACGCTCAAGGGGGGGGGGGGCGAGTTCTGTCCGCATCACTGACTAACGAACAACACACCCATACCCATAGGGGGGTCGTTGGGAGGAGTGGCTGTGGGTATGGGTGCGGGTTGTCGGACCCTGGGGCACGCTACCGTTCGAGCGGGGACCCCCATCCGACAACACGCACCCATAGCCCTCTCCGATCCCCCTATGGGTATGGGTGTGTGTTGCTGGTTCGTCAATCACGGCTTTAATGTCATGATTGTGTTGGCCGTTTTGGGGGTGAGTGCGTTATCCATGAGGTGATCGTCCTTCTGCGTGAGGCGATCGTGCACATCGAAGCGGACGGGGTGCGAGGTCACCAGTCACACGATCCAGATGCCACGTGATCACGGGCGGGCTCCGATTTTTGTTGCAGTATCGCCTGATTGGAATGTCCAGCGTGTTCGAACGTTTCGCTTCGGACGTTCTGCTTGCAGCTGCCGCCCGCCTAGACCTTCCGCCTCCCGACCACCAGCTCTCCTCGTCCTCGTCTTCCCTCCTCCTCCTTCTCCTCCTCCTCTGCTTCTTCCCTCCCTCCCTCCTCCTCCTTCCTTCTCCTCGTCCTCGTCCTCGTCTTCCCTCCTCCCTCTCGTCCTCGTCCTCGTCTTCCCTCCTCCTCATCCTTCTCTCTCTTCCCTGCGACGTAAGAGGGGGGGTCGGCCCGACCATGCGCTTTCCCGCCACTGGGGCAGATGTGAAGTCTCCGTGGACGGGACGGGGTGGGCCCATAAGGGCATTATTGGCACCATAGGCCCGCGACCACCAATCGGAGGTACACCATCTGTCCTGCACCATGCATGCAGCTTTGCGTCATACGATACGCGTTCTACGGAATGCACTAAGATCGAGGAGACGTAAGACTCGAGTAAGCCGGAACTCGGGTTTGCCGACGCTTTTTGACGAGCGCGTTCTGGATTTTGACGGTCCGGTTTCGGTGGGATGTTTTCAGCGGGGGTTCGCGTCAAATTTCAGATGGGGCCTCGTCATTTTCACAATGGCCCCGTCGGGCCAACCCGAGTCCCCCGTACCTGAGTCTTACGTCTCCCCGATAAGAGGAACCAGGGCGTTCTCATCCTCGCCATCCATGCCCCCAGCCCTGGAGCCATCCGGAGGGCCATGCGTGGTCTCTCGGGGTCCTCCGGAGGGCCCCAAGGGCCAAGTAAGTAGCCCAGGGTGTACGCTCCAAGTCATCGACCATCGGCGCCCCCCATCTCCTCGATCCTGGGCCCCTGCATGTGGGAAGTGAGCTGCTTGTGTCGTCTCGCAGCCAACGAGAGACATCGGGTCCGATGATGTTTCGATGTGCTTTGCTCTGCAGTTCGACCCCCTGGGACCTATCCAGGGGCGCGCACTGCCCAGGAGCTCGGAGGGAGTCAGAAGGCAGCGTCGACGGGGCCTCCGCGGGCCCCCAGAACAGTGCCTCACAAGTCCTCCTCCTCCTCCTCCTCCTCCTCGTCTTCCTCCTCCTCCTCCTCCTCCTCCTCCTCCTCCTCCTCCTCCTCTGCTTTCAGCTCTGGAGACCGTCGACGTGCGACCCTGTCGCGGGCTCCCCCTGGGGCAGCGGCTCGTCCCCGATGCCGGGGCCACGACGCAAAAGCGCCCTAGCAGCCCAGAGGAACAGGAACATAACTCAAGGGCTCCCCCGAGGGCGCGAAGTTATTCGCGCTTCGCGGTCCTCGTTCCTTCTCCCCCTCCTCCTCGTCCTCCTATTCTCCCTTTGGGGGGGCGGCGCGAGAGCGCGAAGTTATTCGCGCTTCGCGCTTCGCGCAGCGCGAAGCGCGAAGTTGGGAGCCCTAGTAACTTCAGTCCGCCACATGGCTGGGCGCCTGGGCTCCTCGATGCCCCCCCCGCCAACCCCCCCCCCCGAGCCATCTCGTAGACGTCTGCAGCGGGGGAGGTCCCTGCAGGGCCCCCAGAAGCTTCGGGGGCCCAGCCGAGGCCGACCGCGTCGAGCAACCCAGCTCCTCGCTCTTCCCTCGACCTCCGACCTTCCATCGCACCCGCCTTCCTCCTCCCTCCTCCTCCTCCTCCTCCTCCTCCTCCTCCTCCTCTCCTCCTCCTCCTCCTCCTCCTCCTCCTCCTCCTCCTCCTCCTCCTCCCTCCCAACAGTGCCCCGGGTGGTTTCCGGGCCACGCCTCGGCTCGCGGGCGGCCGCCGCGGATGCTCCCGGGCGCCCCCCGAGCGCCCTCGGGGAGGCACGGCTGCGGGAGGGCACCCTTAGGCAGGAGAGGACCGCCGAGGAGCAGCGGCGACGAGCCGCAGGCCGCCGAGGGCCGCCGCGGAGGCCTCGGGCCCGCCCCTGTCGACCAGACGTAAGAGTGACCTTTCGCCAGAGTGACCTTTGGTGTGGGCACAGATGGGTCCTCAGATGGCTGAAAAACGAAGCAGTCGCAGCTGCTTGTGCGCCCAGGTTTGGTCCCCCCGCGGCCCCCGAAAAGTCGCGCACCAAAGGTCACTCTTACCCAGGGCCACTCTTGCGTGTAGCCGACCCTGGCCCCCCTCGGCCGAGGCCCGGGAGAGGTCCAGCCAGCTCGCGACGTACCTCTCCACGGTGCTGGCCGGGGCAGAGGCGCAGGCGCGCCCCGCCGCCGCCCTCCTCGCAGCAGGGAGGGGGGGAGGGAGGGAGGGAGGGAGGGAGGGAGGGAGGGAGGGAGGGAGGGAGGAGGGAGGGAGGAGGGAGGGAGGAGGGGGAGGAGGAGGAGGAGGAGGAGGAGGAGGAGGAGGAGGAGGAGGAGGAGGAGGAGGAGGAGGAGGAGGAGGCGGAGGCGGAGGAGGAGGAGGAGGAGGCGGAGGCGGAGGCGGAGGAGGGAGGAGGAGGAGGAGGAGGAGGAGGAGGAGGAGGAGGAGGAGGAGGAGGTGGGGGGTGGGCGGGGTGCCAGCATGAGGAAGCACAACGATGGATCCAGACGCGTGGGTTCCCAGATGTCCAGCGCGTTGGGGAACTCAGGACGGAGTTGTTTCGCGCTGTTCGGCCTCTGGAGGCCCTCGCTTGGCCCCGTGACCGTCAAGAAACGACTCGGTCGGGAGCCTTGAGACGGGGGTTAATGCAAACGGGGGTCAGCCAGGGCGCCAGATCCTGCAGGATCCTGCGAAGACCCCCTCTGGCTGACCCGGGTTAGCGAGCCGCTCGTGGCCGCGAGGCGGCCGCGCATATTGGCTGACCCGGGTTTGCGAAGATCTGCGTTGCAGTTTTTTTTCTTGCATTGCGGTTTTTGGTTTCTTGCTGACCCGGGTCTGGATTGACCCGGGTCAGAAGATCCCCGACTCGGGGGGGGGGGAAACAGCCTGGGGAAAGGGTCGAGACTTCTAGGGACCCTGTTTCGAAAAAGCATGGCACCAGGTCTCTGGATGAGCGACGGGTCCCGCTTCCGCTACGAATCGGCTCACTCCGTGGCCAGATCTGGCGGCATGAGCCTCGTGTTTCTGATGCGCGCGCCTTCCCCCGATCCGTGGATCTGGCGTCCACGTGTGATATCCACGGATCCGTAGCTCTCTCCTCCTCCTCCTCCCTTCTCTCCTCCTCTTCCTCCTCCTCCTCCTCCTCCTCCTCCTCCTCCTCCTCCTCCTCCTCCTCTCGCTGCACCGGTGCGGCGCAGGGGTCTCGGGCTGCGCCCCGGACTCCGCAGAGGCGAGACGACGAATCGGGTGTTTTGGGGGCGGCATGACGACTAGGTAGGAGGATCGAGGATCGAGGACGATGGAGGAGGATCGAGGATCGAGGTGCATGGGGGGGCGCCTTCTGCCCCGGGTCGCGGTTCGCCCCTGCCCGCCTGTCTCTTCTGTCGGGAGCGGAAAAGAGGGCGGCATGAGGACTAGGGGGGGTGGATATCATGGCGGGGGCCACGATATTTCCCCAGCTTTCATGGCGCCTCTTCTCATTTCATTACGTCCCTGGCCCCCCCGCTGGGCCGCGTACATGCCGCCGGTCATGATTTGCACCCCCCACCCTCTTGGACACCCCCCTCTTGGCCTAGAAGTACCCCTGGGCCAGGGTACCCCCAAGATTCTCGGGGTGGCCCAGACGGCCTCCGGGGCACCCCTCACGAGGCCCAGAGTCAAGGGAGGAAAAACCACCCAGACCAGACAATTGGCGTTTACTAAACGGCCCTGGGCTTGGAGGGTGAAAGAGGGGGTCCGCAACAGGGAGTCTTCAATGGGGGCTGAATGGCCCATGTATGCTCAATGTATCGCTCATTTATGCAATCGGGTATGATTGGCATCCCATGTTGGCGGTCATGGAGGGCCAATCGTTCGTGCCCGCGCGTTGCCCGCGCGCGCGGGCAAACGCGCCGTCCATCCATTATCGTTCATGCGTGCGGAGGTTCTTGCATATTGCGCGTGGAGCGGCGAAGTGGAGTGCAAGTGTGTCTTGATTGTGCGATTGATGATCGTGTATGTACCCAGACGGTGACTTGTCGACCCCCAAGATAGATTTGGAATGGGTCCCGCGATTGTCCCAACATGTGAATTCACATATATTTCTAACGTGTGAATTGACATTTCAATTTGTCCCAAAATGTGAACTCACATTCTGGCCCGTTCATAATGATTCCTGCACACAGTTCCAAAATGTGAATTCACAGTTTCTTTCGTCAAATATGTGAATTCACATCTGCCTTTGTCCCAACATGTGAGTTCACATCTTGCTTTCCCCCCAACGTGAATTTACTTTTTGGCCTGGCCCTCAAGATCCCAAAAACTGAAGCGCAGTGTTCCGCATGTCAGACTGGCTAGGCAGATTTTGACACCCGCCTCACCGCTTTCGTTCATTCAAACCTTTTTTGGCGCCCTCAGCGCACGTTGCTTTCGTCGCCTTCCCCGAGCCCCCCGCCCCCTTGCTTCGTTTACCCTCGAGTCTCGCGCATGGGCGCAGGCGGGGAGCTTCAATTGGTTCCCCCGCCAGACACAGCAATCGAGGATGCAACGCCCATGCATGGCGCATAAAGACACCATTGCCGGGACCCTGCGCCCGACCCCCCACGTTCACCCTCCAATGGGCGTTTACTAAAAGCCTTGCCCTGCTCGATTCTTTCATTGGGTGCGTTTACTAAACGGCCTCGCTTGTCGGGGTGGTTATTATGGGGGTGGATTCGCTGCCCTACGCAGAGGGCCCCAGGGGTTCCGAAACGGAGCGGAAACCTGGGGGCGCCTGGGGCCAGGGGCGCTCCAACCCGGACGCAGGCCGGCGTCCGAGGGGCCGACACAAGTCAGGAGGGGAAGGAACACACAGACATAATGAATTGTCGAGATCCTAGAACAACCAGGAAAGACTGGAAGCGGGGGGGGGGGGAAGACAAACACCCCGAAAACATTCGAAAATTGATAGGGGGATCTTTTCTTTACTTGTGTCTATGGATTTGTGTGCCCCAGGCCCGTAAAGGCCGCGGACGCCAGGGCGCGAGCCGACAGCCTCACAGAGTCCCAGCGGGGGCCGACCGAGCCGGCAAGCCCCGGGTGTCCCGTGTCCGTGCTTTCCGCGTGGTTGGGGCGGACGCGATGTCGTGTCCTTGTGTTTGCGTTGTTGGCCTTTGTTTGTCCTTTTTCGTAATTGCTCGTGCCGCCTCAGATCTGTAGTGTCCTCGTCCGCTTATTCATAACAGGTGTGCTTGTCACGTATCATCAGCATGCTATTCCTCTTCTTCCTTCTCTTCCATCCTCCTCCTCCTTCTCCTCCTCCTCCTCCTCCTCCTCACCACCATCATCATCAGCAACATCAGCACCATAGCCATAGTGGGTCTAGTACTTGCTGGTCCGAGGGGCCACTGGCTCCTCCTCCTTCCCGCGCGGCTGCGTCTCCATTCCCGCGGCCGATGGTCTCCGCGGCTCGGCTGGCCCTGGTGTACGTGCAGCTGGCGGCTGGACGGCGCTGCAGTGTCAGGCTGAACACGTACGTCAACAAGGTGCTCCAAATTGTTGGAGCAGTAGCATGGCGAGGGCCTCTAGAAGGCGGCTAGCCAGCACGTCCACTACCTGATGCGAAACCTGGATGGCTACGTAGTTGTGGATCGTGGCCATCGGAAGTCCAGATGCGCCTTGCATTGCGCATTTCCCTTCATAGTGCCAACACAGCAGCTCGGAGGACATGATGGGGACGACCCGGACGACCCCAGTGGCGACGAGGATCACGATGGACATCATAAGGATCTTGTCGATGATGGAGGTCTTTGCGGTCGGCACCGACTGGGACGAGATCCTTGGCATGAGGATGGTGATGCCGATGCATGGTCTTCTGCATGCCCTGGCCCGCGGCGTATCTCCCACGTGTTGGTGCGCCTGACGGTGGTCACCGACGAGCCGTACTTCCTGATGTAGAGCCCGTAGTGCCACTTTTCCCCTCCAACGAAGAAGCGGTTGTTCCCTACCTAGGCTCTGCCTAGAAGGGTTCTTACTCTGTTTGCTTAAAGGGCCGGGCAGTGGGGCACGCCCCGGGCGGTTCCCCCGGCATCCGCCCCGCGGTTCCCCCAGTGACGTTCCCTTAGCTTAGCGTTGCTTATCTCATCTTAGCTTAGCTTATTTCATCTCACCTTAGCTTAGCTTCATCTTACCTCAGTTTTAGCTTAGCTTAGCTTACCTTCCTTTTAGCTTCGCTGAGCTTTAGCATAGCAGAGCGCAACATAGCATCGCATAGCGTAGCATGGCATCGCGCAGCATAGCATATCATAACATAGCCCAGCATATCATAGCATGGCGCAGCATAGCATAGCACAGCATAGCGCAGCACAGCACAGCACAGCACAGCGCAGCATAGCATAGCATAGCAGAGCAGAGCAGAGCATAGCATAGCATATCATAGCATAGCATAGCATAGCGCAGCATAGCATAGCATAGCATAGCATAGCGCAGCATGGCATGGCATAGCATAGCATAGCATAGCAACTGATGCTGCTTTCCTAGGGGCTCCAACTTCTAGGTAGGGTTGCACTGGGGTAAGTGTTGTTGCACCGTGGAAGCCAGGCTGCGTAGGCCGATCCTGAGCCTGAGTTGCAGCTTCCTGGAGCTACGGCGGCTGAGGATCTGGAGAAGGTCTGTCGATATGAAAGCGTTGATCTCGACAAGGTTGTCGGATCTTGCGCCAGGGTAGACGCTCCAGCCTCTTCCTTGCATGGCGACATGGTTATGAGATCGCGGGTTCACATAAGTAGAATATGTCATGGGACAAGCAATGCTACGTCTTGCCGTTTCGCATTGCATCCCAAGTGGGAGCGAATTGATTTAATCCCGCACCCGAGGCACGACGCTTTAATTCTTGGCGCTTCGCGCATCCTCACTAGCACATCCAGACACGCTGCCCATGAGAGTTGACGGGGGGAGAGAGGAAGAGACGCATAGTCAAGCAGCGAGGGAGGGAGGCTTGGGAGGCTTCGTGGCCATTCGGAGCCGTCTTGGAGTACCTTGGGAGCCGTCTTGAGCCAGCTTGGGCTATCTGAACCATCTTGGATGTCGTCTTGGGCTTTCTGAGGCCGCTCGGGGCCTCTCGGAGGCCTCCCAGGCACATCCTTGGAGGCCTCCTGGGGCTTCTTGGGGCGCTCTTTGGGCTCTCGTGGGGGCCTCTTGGGAGCCCTGGAGGGCCTCGCGGGGCCATCTTGGAGGCGGTCGGTCACAAGAGCGGGGGAACTCGATTTGCGTCCCCCCCCCTCGGGGGCCACGATCCTCGCGAGGGTGGCATACAACGGCCCCTTGTACATTGCCGAACGCATATACTTCGACACCTCGCGATCACCCCAAACAACCTCAGGGAGGGGAGGGGGAGGGTTCCCCTCGCCGAAGGGAAGAGGGGTTGTGGAATAGGAAAGCGACCATCGTTAGACCACCTGTTGCCCTCAGGGTTGGTGGGATTCATTCATTTTCGGTACGTGTTTGAAGGATTTGGGCATGTCGGCGGCATCCTGGGGAAGCTCCGTGGCCACCTCGAGCCGTTCTGGAGCGGTCTTGGGACATCATGGGGCCGTCTTGAGCCAGCTTGGACTATCTTGTGCCAGCTTCGAGGTCACGCTGGGTTCTCTGAGGCCGCTTGGGGGCCATTCGGGGGCCTCTTGGAGGCCTCTCGGGGGCCTCTTGGAGTCCTCTTTGGGCCTCTTGGGGCGCTAGTGGAACCCTCTTTGGGGCCTCTGGAGGGCCCTGGTGGGCCTCTTGGGGGCATCTTGGAGGCGGTCGGTCAAACGAGGGGGGTATTCGATTTAGGTCCCCCCCTCGGAGGCCACGATCCTTGTGAACGGTGGCAAACAATGGCCCTCCCAATGGCCGAGGCAGGAGTCTCCGACACCTCGCGATCCTTCCCAAAAAGCTCCAGGGAGGGGAGGGGCAGGGGTCCCCTCCCAGAAGGGAAGAGGGGTTATGGAAGAGGAAAGAGACACTCGTTAGACCACCTGTCGCCCAAAGGGCTGGTGGGATATCACCTCCTGCGGCTACCGACGCATCCTGAGGAACGCACGCTCCTCCCATTAGTGGGCATGCTCTCCTCGGTCGAGAGTTTGTACGAGATGCTGGTGCGGCTGCTGATGATACTGTGCGGCGAGAGGGCGGTGGTCGTGCTTCTCCTCTCCATTTCAGTCGACCCATGCGCGCTTACCGATACACGGGCATGTACAGATACGTGCGCAACCAAACATAATCATACAACCGAGCACGTACACATACACACACATATGCAGGCGGAAGAAGGACAGGAGAAGCGGAGATCTTCGTATATTGCTTTCCCCCTCTCATTCCATTCTGGTCCTGCCCCATCTTTTCCAACCCCCTCTTGCCCTCCTCCTCCTCGCCTTCCCTCTTCCCGGCCTTCTTCCTCCTCTCTGCCTCTTTTTTTCCCCTCCCTCCCCGTCCCTTCACTCTCGGGAGCAGAAAAGAGGGGGGTGATGACTGGGGTGGGAGGGGGATATCATGGCGCGGGCCATGATATTTCCCCAGATGTCATGGCGCCTTTTCTCATTTCATTACGCCCCTGGCCCCCCCGCTGGGCCGCGCACGTGCCGCCGGTCATGATTTGCACCCCCCCCTCTTGGACACCCCCCCCTCTTGGCCGCTCCCGACGCTCTTTCTCTCCTCCTCACTTCCCTTACAGTCGGGGCCCTGAAGAAGGAACCCTTTTCGTTGGGGAGGGGCTCCGCGTTCCTTAAGTGTTTCGCAGCTCGCCTCAGGTTTTCCTTATGTTTTTGATCGGAAATCAAAGTTTAACTCACCACCCACCAAACCATCCCAACCCAACCCGAAGGCCTCAAGTTGACCTCCATTGACCTCCATTTCCAGTGGGGGGGGGGGTCGGGGAACATTGAGAAAACACACATGGAACCCGTACCCCCCCAACCCGAAATTCGGGTCTTCGGGTTGGGTTGGGGTGGTCTGGCAGGTAGCCATTAACTGATGGAAACAAAGGGGCCTCGTTCCTCATTCAGGGTTCCTTAGGTCAACGCCCCGACTGTACCTCTTTCCCTTCTTTCTCCCCCCATTCCCTGGGTGGATGGCTGTACGTGGTCATACAATTCACAAAACAGCCCCCTCCGACAGTCCCAAGGGGTGTCATCGACACCAACCCCCACAGTTCGAACGGTGGAGCGCCGACACCCCTCCGACACACCAAAAGGGGGTCCAACGAGTGGCTCCCGACACTGCCGCGACACTTCCGAAGGGGGGTCCCCGACACCTCCCCCATTCCCCCCTCGTTCCCATCAGGGGGCACGCACGACGAAGCGTAGGAGGCCAGCGCAAACGCTGGTGCGATTGATGCTGTCGCCCTCTCCTCGTTCGTTCGTGTCGTCGTCGTCCTCCCTTCCCTCCTCCTCTTCCTCCCTGCCGGGCTCCTTGAGGAGAACACAGGTTGGCGTGGGTATGCCCGTGGGTATTGCCCTTCCCTCCTTGGAGGGTCTGGCCGTACCCCGTGGCACGCCCAGGCTGGTTTGTGTTGTCTTGCCCGCCCGTAATGTTCCTAGATGTTTCACACCACACTGATCGATCTGTTTCACACCACTCGGGGGAGCGTAAGACCCCGGTTTGCCGGGACTCGGGTTCGCCACCGTTTTTTGACGACCGCGCCTCGGATTTTGACGAGGAGGAGTTTCGTGGGATGTCTGCAGCGGGAGGCCTCGTCAAAATGCAGGCTCGGCCTCGTCGTTTTTTTGACGACCTCGTCGGGGATTTCCGAGTCCCCCGTACCCGGGTCTTACGTCTCCCCGATGATCGATTTGTTTCACACCACGCTGATCAATTTTCCGGCCCGGCGCAATGCCGGGGAGGAGGACCCGCGCCGCCTCCCTACGGGCCGCTGCTCTGCTCTGCTCTCAGAGCCCCGAATCATCAGGGGTAACTCGGGTCAGGGATAACTCGGGTGCCTGTTTCGGGAATCCGAACCCGACTTACCCCGGACCCGAGTTACCCCGGATAACTCGGGCGTCCAGAGCCCCAAATCATCAGGGATAATTCGGGACAGGGCTAACTCGGGTTCCTTTTTCGGGAATCCAAGCCCGAGTTACCCCGGACCCGAGTTACCCCGGATAACTCGGGCGCCCAATGCTCTGCTCCCATCCGGGGGCGTGGAGGCCTCGAGCCGGCGCCGCCCGCCGCCCCCTCGGCCTGGGCCGCTCGCGGCCGCCCCTCGGCTCGCCGCGAGGACGATGGGCGAGTCCATATTTCGAGGCCTCCTCCTCCTCCTCATCATCATCAAGGGCTCCCAGGAGGGCGCGAAGTTATTCGCGCTTCGCCGTCCTCCTTCCTCCTCCCCCTCCTCCTCGTCCTCCTCTTCTCCCCCTTGGGGGGCGGCGCGAGGGCGCGAAGTTATTCGCGCTTCGCGCTTCGCGGAGCGCGAGGGCGCGAAGTTGGGAGCCCTAGATATTTCTAGGCCTCCTCCTCCTCCTCATCATCATCCTCCCCCTCCCCCTCCCCCTCCCCCTCTCCCTCCTTCGAGGAGGGGAAAAAACACACAGACACAATGCATCGGCGATCCCCAGAAGATATAGGAAAATATGGGAGGGGGGGGGGGAAGACAGAAACCCAAAACATATGAGAAGATATGGGGAATCTTTTTATTTGTGTGTATTTATTTGTGTGTCCTGGGGCCCCTTCATAGATGGGGTCGGAGTAGATGGGGTCGGAGGGTCGCGCCGCATCGCCGATGCATCGACGATGCGGCTCGATGCGGAGCCCGATGTTCTCCACGCCGACGTCGCCGATACGTCGCCGACGTCGACGCCTCATCGCCGGTGCATCGCCGATGCATCGCCGATGCATCGCCGATGTATCGCCGATGTATCGGCGATGCGGCGCGGTTCTCCGGCCCCATCTACTCCGACCCCATGCAGGAGGCATCTAACATTGGCTCCCCACATCGTGTACTTGTTTCACACCGCATCCGGTATCGAACCGGGCTTCGTGTTCGTACGGGACCTTGCGTTGCCCCAGGCAGTCTCAAAGGTCCCCTGGGGCCCTCTTTGGCCTTCCTGGGGTTCCATTACGCTGGCTTGGGGCTCTCTTCGGCCGGTGTGGGGCCCTCTTGACCGCGCGGCAGGTGTCTGGGGCCGTTTTGGGTCGTCAATGGGGTTTGAAGTCCGTCGTGGGTTTCGTTGGTGGCCCTGTCGGGCCGTTTTGGGGCAGTTTTGAAAACCTCTTGGGGTCATCGTGGAGTCCCTTTGGGTCGTTTTGAGCCGACGGCAGCACGAAAAGGCGAGAATAGGACAATCATTACAAAAACCCACGGGGCTGTCAATGCTTGTGGAGGTCCTCTTGTTGCGTTGTTGGGTGCTCTTGGAGGCAACTTGGGCAGTTTTGAATCAATATTCGACCACGTTCGGGCCATCTTGGGCCGTTTCCGAGGCATGTTGGGCCATCTCGGTGTCTTTGATTGCTTGCACGGGCCTTCTTGGAAGCTCGGGATGCAGATCCACAGTTCTTTGCGAGGGACCGTTGCTCGGGACGCCCCTGCAGCGCCTGGGGGCGTCGCCAGTGCATGCGGGCAGTGCGTGGTCATCGAGCGGGTGCGCGTGGGATGGGAGGCCCAAGAGTGAGCAGCCGTGCGGAAAGTGCACAAACCCCGAGCGGGCGCGCAGGCCCTGCAGGAAGTGCGCCGTCCTCGAGCGGGCACGCCTGGAAGGGGGGGTACAGGCATTCACAATCCTCCTCCTCCTCCTCCTCCTCCTCCTCCTCCTCCTCCTCCTCCTCCTCCTCCCCCTCCTCCTCCCCCTCCTCTTCTCCCCTGGGGGGCGGCGCGAGAGCGCGAAGTGATTCGCGCCTCGCGCCTCGCGCAGCGCGCCGCGCGAAGCTGGGAGCCCTCGAGGTCGCGGCTCTGCCGAGAGCGTCGCCGTGCGGGGCACGCTGCGGTCTCGGGCGGGCGCGAGGGAGGCCGCCTCGGAACGGGGGGGGCGGGCGGGGCGCCTCCGGGAGTCTGCCGGAGAGGGGGGAGGCGCGGGTCCGGCAGGCGGGGCTTGAGAGACCTGGAGAGTTTGGACCCCTGAGAGGCAAGGGCTCCCCCGAGAGGGCGCGAAGTTATTCGCGCTTCGCGCTTCGCGGTCCTCGTTCCTTCTCCCCCTCCTCCTCGTCCTCCTTTTCTCCCTTTGGGGGGGTGGCGCGAGAGCGCGAAGTTATTCGCGCTTCGCGCTTCGCGCAGCGCGAAGCGCGAAGTTGGGAGCCCTAGGAGTCGGGGGTGGACAGAACCCCCACCCTGACACGTCGACTAGTGAATTGGCAGTTTTCGGTTCTCGAGAGGGCGCCGCGGCCGTCATTTTCCAGGCTTGCGCCCGCGAGATTTGGGCCCGAGGTCGGTTTCACTAAGCCACGTTTTGCTAAAGGGGGTTCTGTCCATCCCCGAGAGGAGGACTCAGGACTCAGGCCTCCCATATTCACCACCCACCAAACCACCCCAACCCAACCCGGAGGCCTCAAATGGACCTCCATTTCCAGTGGGTGGGGGGGTCGGGGAACATCGAGAAAATACGTATGGAACCCGTACCCCCCCAACCCGAAATTCGGGTCTTCGGGTTGGGTTGGGGTGGTCGGGTAGGTGGTCACATATGGGGTCCGGGCAGATGGGGTCGGTGCATCGCGCCGCATCGCCGATGCATCAGCGGTGCTGAAGGAGGATGGGACCGGTTTTCTCTTTGGGGCGCAGGGTCGGGGGCCTAAGGGGCCCAAGAGACGGGGGTCAATGCAAACGGGTGTCAGCCAGAGCGCCAGATCCTGCAGGCTCCTGCGAAGACCCCCTCTGGCTGACCCGGGTTTTCGAGCCGCTCGTGGCCGCGAGGCGGCCGCGCCTATTGGCTGTCCCGGGCTTGCGAAGATTTGCGTTGCAGTTTTTGTTTTCCTGCATTGCAGTTTTTGGTTTCCTGCTAACCCGGGTCTGGATTGACCTGGGTCAGAAGATCCCCGACTGCAGTCGAATGCAAGCACCCTGCCGCACAGACCTTTGCGGCATGTTTCCACGCCTCAACGTGCCAAGGGGCACGGTGGCGGTATGCATATAGGCATGAGTATGTATTGGTTCTTATATATATAGTTTTTACATATACGCATATCTATCTACACGTATGCATGTGCTAGCCCTCCCCCCAGGGGCCCCAGCGTGAGAAAGAGAGAGAGAGAGGAAACGGAAGAGAAAGATAATTATAGCCAGAGTGCAGTATCCCCAAGCAGGGTTTTTACACCCACTGCGGTTTCCAAGGTCGATTGCGTGCCCGTCCAGTGCGAGCTGGCATGGCGTGTTAGAACATGCTTCCTCCTCCTCCTCCTCCTCCTCCTCCTCCTCCACCTCCTGGCTCAAGCCACGCGAGTTCGAGCCGCCCCCTCCCCGTGCACTCGGCTGGCACATCTCTTGGGCAGGATGTCGTCGCTGGCGCGCAACATGGCCCTCCTGCGCAGCCGCGAGCTCGGCGCGAGCACGGCGCAGCCCCAGCACCAGCCGCCCGCCGCTCCCCTCTTCGACCGCAAGCGGGGCGTCGTGCAGAGCCGCCCCCCGGCTCGCGGAGGAGCCGCGCGGCGGCCCCTGGCCGGCGCCCGCAGCGCCGAGCCCGAGGGGGCCCTGGCGCCGCTTGCGCAGCGGGGGCCCCCGCCGGCGAGACGACGAGCTGGGCGGGGGCGGCCGTGCCGGCGCTCCGCGCGCGGCGGCCCGGCGGGGGCCCCGCGGCCGCGGAGGGCGCGGCGCGCGGCGGCGGCGGAGCCCGCCGCGGAGCCCGCCGCCGAGCACGCCCGGGCGGCCGGGTCGGAGGCCCCGCCGCGCCGCCCCTGCCCGGGAGGCCCGGCTCCGTGCCCGCAGGGCGGCGCCGCGCACGCCGTACCCGCCACGGCGACCTCCCTCCCCTCCCTCCCTCCCTCCTCCCTCCTCCCTCCTCCCCCCTCCAGCCGACGATCTTCGGAGCCTTCCGGTGGCGACACGACGGCGCATGAGAGTCTTGCACGGCAATCTAAGCCCAAAGGCTTCGCCTGCAACTTGTTGCAGACGACTTGCCAGGCAATGCCGAGGCTTCCTCGCGAGAACTGCGGCGGCCACACCAGCGGCAACACCACACGGTGGCCACTCCAGCGGCACCAGGACGCGAACGGAGTCTTCCTGCAACGAAGAAACAGTCAAGCATCTCTTCCTAACTTTTTATATGATTCGCACTGCATGTATCCAGACACCTCAGATCATAGAGGCCATGGCCTCACCCACCTGGTCTGCTCAAGGCCTGGACGCTGTCCGCAGCGGTGGTCGTATCGTATCGTATCGTATATCGTACCTCCTCTTCACCCCGAACGGCATCTCGGAGCCCAGAGGTGCGAGGATGTCTCCAGCCAGTGGTCTTCTGGGCCTCAGGCTGGACCACCTCTTGCGCGGCATCTTGGAGCTCAGAGTTGCGAGAATGTCTTGTGCGATACGGGCCGGACCACCTTGCGCACGGCATCTCATAGCTCAGAGTTGCAAGGATGTCTTAGGCGAGACGGGCCAGACCACCTCGCGCAGGGCATCTCGGAGCCCAGAGTTGCGAGGATGTCTCCAGCGTAACGGGCTGGACCACCTCGCGCGCGCCCAGAGTTGCGACGATGTCTCGGGCGAAGCGTGCTGCGAGGAAGTCTCAGGCAAAACGGGCCGGACCACTTCGAGCGCGGCGTCTCATAGCTCCGAGTTGCAGGGGCCTCCTGGGGCCTCCTGGGGACAGCACGGGCGCCAGCACGGAGGCTGGAAGAAGAAGTGAGCTGCTTCTTTTCGCTATGTAAGCCCGTCCAGCTCGGCCTCAGACTCTGCCATTTTGATGGCGGGTCTGGCGCATTTGAAGCATGCGGCCAGGGCGACCACAATTTGATTGGTCAAACTGGCGCGCGCGCGAGTTTCTCTGCGAATATACCGCGAATCCAGGCGTAGTTGGAGTGAGGGATTGTTTGCATAGTTTTCTGCAGAGTTCTGTGCTCTGCGGCTTGGGTCCGCTTGATCATTTCGAGTGGGCTCTGGGGTTGCCGTCGTGTAAAGACCCCCTGGCAGTTCCTGACTCCGTGTCCTCTCATCCTGTGGCCTCCTGGACACCACCTGTGGCGTCCTGGAGCCTCTTGGGGTTCCCAGGGGGGATATCTCACATGTGGCCGTCGGGCCCCCCCCAAATGGGGGGCCACAAGAGCAGGAAAAATCAACGGATCGACACCGGATGTGTATTAACTTGACACGTTCTGATAAGGAGCCTCCTGGGGCCTTCTAGGAGCCTCCTGGGAATCTCCTGGGGACCCCTGGGGCCTGTCCTGGGCGTCCTGCGGCCTCCTGAAGCTCTCTGGGGCCTCCTGGGGCTCCCAGGGTCCCAGGGGGGGATATCTAACATCTGGTCTTCTGGGCCCCCAGGCTGGACCACCTTTTGGGCGGCATCTGGGAACTCAGAGTTGCGAGAATGTCTTGTACGAAACGGGCCGGACCACCTTGCGCACGGCATCTCAGAGCTCAGAGTTGCGAGGATGTCTCAGGCGAAACTGGCTGGACCACGTCGCGCGCGGCATCTCCGAGGTTGGAGTTGCGAGGATGTCTCAGGCGATATGGGCTGGACCACCTCTTGCACGGCATCTCGAGGCTCAGAGTTGCGAGGATATCGCAGGCGAAACGGGCCAGATCACCTCGCGTGCGGCATCTCAGAGCTTAGAGTTTCGAGGACGTCTCAGACGAAACGGGCCGGACCACCTCTCGCGCGACATCTCGGAATGCAAAAGCCCGAGGATGTCACAAGTGAAACGGGCCGGACCACCTTTTGGGCGGCATCTCGGGGCTCAGAGTTGCGTTGATGTCTCAGGCGAGATGGGCCAGGCCACCTCGCGCAGGGCATTTCGGAGCCCAGAGTTGCGAGGATGTCTCCAGCGTAACGGGCTGGACCACCTCGCGCGCGGCATCTAGGACCCCAGAGTTGCGACGATGTCTCGGGCGAAGCGTGCTGCAAGGAAGTCTCAGGCAAAACGGGCCGGACCACTTCGAGCGCGGCGTCTCAGAGTTCCAGGTTGCGGGGGGGCCTCCTGGGGACCTCCTGGGGCTTCCTCCTGGGCCTCCTGTGGCCTCCCAGACCCCGCCTGGGGCTTCCTGAAGCCTCTTGGGGCTCTCAGAGGGGGATATCTAACATGTGACCGTCGGGGCCACAGTATTTAACGTGACACGTTCTGAAAAGGAGCCTCCTGGGGCCTCCTGGGAGCCTCCTGGGAATCTCCTGGGGACCTCTGGGGCCTTCCCAGGGTCTCAGAGGGGATATCTAACATGTGGTCTTCTGGGCCCCCAGGCTGGACCACCTCTTGCGCGGCATCTGGGAGCTCAGAGTTGCGAGGATGTCTCGGGCGAAACGGGCCGGACCACCTTGCGCACGGCATCTCAGAGCTCAGAGTTGCAAGGATGTCTTAGGCGAGACGGGCCAGACCACCTCGCGCAGGGCATCTCGGAGCCCAGATTTGCGAGGATGTCTCCAGCATAACGGGCTGGACCACCTCGCGCGCGGCATCTAGGACCCCAGAGTTGCGACGATGTCTCGGGCGAAGCGTGCTGCGAGGAAGTCTCAGGCAAAACGGGCCGGACCACTTCGAGCGCGGCGTCTCAGAGCTCCGAGTTGCGGGGGCCTCCTGGGGCCTCCTGGGGCTTCCTGGGGACCTCCTGGAGATTCCTCCTGGGCCTCCTGTGGTCTCCTGGACCCCACCTGGGGCTTCCTGAAGCTTCTTGGGGCTCCCAGGGGGTGATATCTAACATGTGGCCGTCGGGGCCCTCCAAAATGGGGAGGGTGGGTGGCACAAGAGCAGGACAAATCAACGAATCGACACCGGGTGTGTATTAACTTGGCACGTTCTGATAAGGGGCCTCCTAGGGCCTCCTTGGAGCCTCCTGGGAATCTCCTGGGGACCCCTGGGGCCTGTCCTGGGCGTCCTGCGGCCTCCTGAAGCTCTCTGGGGCCTCCTGGGGCTCCCAGGGTCCCAGAGGGGGATATCTAACATGTGGTCTTCTGGGCACCCAGGCTGGACCACCTCTTGCGCGGCATCTGGGAATTCAGAGTTGCGAGGATGTCTCGGGCGAAACGGGCCGGACCACTTCTTGCGCTGCACCTCGGAGCCCAGAGTTGCGAGGATGTCTCAGGGGAAATGGGCTGGACCACCTCGCAAGCGGCATCTCGGAGCCCAGAGTTCCAAGGATGTCTCAGGTGAAACGGGCCGGACCACCTCTTGCGCTGCACCTCGGGGCTCAGAGTTGCGAAGATGTCTCAGGCGAAACGGGCCGGACCACCTCGCAAGCGTCATCGCGGAGCCCAGAGTTGCGAGGATGTCTCAGGCGAAACGGGCCGGACCACCTCTTGCGCTGCACCTCGGGGCCTAGAGTTGCGAAGATGTCTCAGGCGAAACGGGCCGGACCACCTCGCAAGCGGCATCTCGGGGCCTAGAGTTGCGGAGATGTCTTAGGCGAAGTGGGCCGGACCACCTCGCAAGCGGCATCTCTGGGCCCAGAGTTGCGAGGATGTCTCAGGCGAAACGGGCCGGACCACCTCGCAAGCGTCATCGCGGAGCCCGGAGTTGCGAGGATGTCTCAAGCGAAACGGGCCGGACAATCTCTTGCGCTGCACCTCGGGGCCGAGAGTTTCGAGGATGTCTCAAGCGAAACGACCCGGACCACCTCTCGCGCGGCATCCCAAGATGTCTCAGGCAAAACGGCCAATCCTGGCCAACTCAGAAACGAGAGTTGCGAGGATGTCTCAAGCGAAACGGCCCGGACCATCAGATTTGTGTTGAGGATGTCTCTGCTCTCCTTTCCCTCGGCCGAAGTTAGCCTCTATCACAACAGCACCCCGTTCAGCAAGCTGTTGGGGAACGAACGAGAAGACGACAAGAAGAGAAAGAGAAAGAGTGAGCGAGAGAGAGAGAGTGCTAGTGAAGGGTGGAGACATAGAGGGGCAGGGAGGGATATGGAGAGAGAGAGAGAAGGAAAACGCGCTTCTTTCCTCCTTCCACCACCTCTCACTGATTCCTCATCCTTGTTCGCCCTGATCTCTTTCGTCATCTTCCCTGCAGTAGTGAACAAGGATGAACCTCACGTTCTCGCTCCCCCTCTTTCTCGTTTTTTTTGTTTCTCTCTCTCTCTCTCTCTTTATGTTCCTTCTTCCTCTCTAAAGGACACGCGAAGAATTCGCAACGAGAGGTCCACCTCCTCCCCCTTGTTTCTATATCTCTCCCTCTAATGTGTTCTCTCTCTTGTTCCTCTCCCTCTCTTTCCATCCAATATCTCTCTTTCTTTTTATCTCTCGCTCTCTTTCCCAAGTGAGCAATCAGAACCTGTACTAACAATAGTCCATTGACAAAAATATACATGAGGAATGACCACAAATCCCAGCACAGCATTTTGGGTGACGACCATTCGAGGGTGGTAAAGCCGAGATAGGGATGAGGATGAGGATAAAGGGGCTGATAAAGATGATGATGATGATGATGATGATGATGATGATGATGATGATGATGGTGATGATGCTGAGGTTGATGTTGATGCTGATGCTGATGGTCTTGACCATGACGATAGTGATGCTAATGCGGATTCGGATTCTGATTATGATGACGATAGCGACGACGAGTATGGTGATGGTGATGATGCTGATGGTCACAATGTTGGTAGTTGATGGTTATCGTGATGGTGATGGCGGTGGTGGTGATGATGACTGTGATGATGACAATGATGATGCTGATGATGCTGAAGCTGATGACGATGGTGATCACCAGATGATGATGAGGATGCTGATGATGCTGATGATGTTGATGATGATGCTGATGATGTCGATGCTGATGATGAGGTTGAGTATGGTCATGCTGATGCTGATGCTGATGCTGATGACTATCATTGTTGTGGTGGTGGTGGTGGTGAGGAGGAGGAGGAGGAGAGGGAGGAGGACGAGGAGGAGGGAGGAGGAGCATGAGGAGAATATCGAGGGTATTCGTAGTGGTGGTGATGATGATGCTGATGATACTATTGATTGGGAAAAGGTTGAGGAGGAGGATTAGCAGGAGGAGGAGGAGGATGAAAGGCAGGAGGAGGAGCAGGAGGATGATGATATCAAGGTTGAAGTTACTGCTAATATGACCATGACGATTGTGATGCTGATGCGGATTCGGATTATGATTACGATGGTGAGGATGATGTCGACGACGATGACGACAATGATTGTGTTGGATGGTTATTGTGATGGCGATGGCGATGTTGATAATGATGATTGTGATGCTGATGATGATGATGATGATGATGATGATGATGATGATGCTGATGCTGATGCTGATGCTGATGCTGATGATGATGATGATGATGATGATGATGATGATGATGATGATGATGATGACGATGCTAATGACCATGATGCTGCTGATGATGCTGATGATGCTGATGCTGATGATGGTGGTGGTGGCGGTGCGGAGGACGAGGAGGAGGAGGAGGAGGAGGAAAAGTCTCAGAGCTCGAGGAGTCTCCCAGGCTTTTCGGGTGGCTCGGAGGGTGCGCGCTGCGCTGACGCCGTCGCAGGCTTCCAGCCACGGACGGACGCGCAGGCTTGCAGCCTAGGCCGCTCTGAGCGGGAACGCAGACTCCCCTCCTGGGAACGCAGCCCCGGTGCTGGCAGACCAGGATGGGGTTTTTGTTGTGCCTCTGTCATCAAGCATGCAGTGTGCCACGCCAGGGCCACGTGATGCATTTGATGTTGTTGTTCCTTCCGTGCTTTCGCGTGACATCAAAAAAACAAACCCACGCGCCAGGAGGAGGAGGAGGAGGAGGAGGAGGAGGAGGAGGAGGAGGAGGAGGAGGAGAGAGATAGGACGAGGAGGAGGGAGGAGGATGAGGAGGAGAAGAAGGAGGAGGAGAGGGAGAAGGAAGAGGATGGTGGTAAGATGATTGGGAGGAGGAGGAGGAGGAGGAGGAGGAGGAAGAAGAGGAGGAGGAGGAAGAGGAGGAAGGGAGGAGTAAGAGGAGGAGCAGGAGGAGGCTGAAGAGGATAGCGTCACATGTGTCTGTTCGTCTTCAGCGTTCGAGGAAATCTTATTGAACTCGGTTCGTTAGTCTTGAGGGTGCCTTGGCCTCTTGTGAGGCAGTCTTGGGGCCCTCTTGGGCCGTCTTGGGGCCCTCTTACGCCGTCTCGGGGCTCTCGTGGGCCGGCTTGGGTCCTTCTTGTCCGTATGGTGGGTGTTTTGGGTCGTCATGGGCCGTCAAAGGGGATTCGAAGGCCGTCGTGGGTCCCACGGGAGGCCTTCTCGGGCCGTCTTGGGATCGTTTTGGATGCCTCTTGGGCCATCGTGGGACCTCCGAGACTCTCGTGGGGGCTTCTGGGGTCGTTTTAGGGCCATCGCGAAGGCGTGAAGGCGTGCTGGACCGTCTTAAGCTGACAGAAGCCCGAAAAGGCGAGAATGCGAGAATCAGTTCAGCAAGCGTAGGGGACCAATGTTTCTGGCTTCTTCGGACCCAGTTGAAGGTCCTCGTGTGGTCCTTTGGGGCTCTCTGGGGCCTTTTCCCTGGGGCCATGATCGGGACGTCTTGGGGCCGTCTTGGGCAGTCGTCGAGGCAGCTTGGGCCATCTTGGTGTCCTGGATTGTCGGCGTGGGCCGTCTCGGAAGCTCGGGACGCAGATCCATCGTGCGTTCAACGAGGGATCTTGGCCTGATTAGTGCGGGCCCCTCGTTTGCTGCTGCGAGGGGTCGTGGCCTCGGGGGGGGGGGGGCCCGCGGTGCACGCCGGGAGCGCGGCCAGGGGGCCCCCTCGTAGAATCCGAAGACCCTACCGGGCAGCCTCTGGCATTCTTCCACGCCTCTGCGTGCACAGGGCACGGTGGCGACTTTAGGGTCGACTGGGGCGTGAGTATCTACCGTTTCGCCCACACTCGCGATTTTTTCTCGGGTCGGTGCTGGACCCACGAATCACGCGTGCGTTTCCGAAGGTGTTGTTGTGCGTTGTTGTGATATGTTGTTCTTGACCCCTTCGCCCACAGGAGTCCCGGTAAGTAAGCGAGCGTCTAACGTCGCATGATGTGCGCCTTGGGTGTCCCCGCGTGTAGGGTACTCTCGACCCCTGTCCTCCGCTCCCAGACTGTTGTGAGCTCAGCGTGTGCTTGCGTCTGTGTGGCATGGCTGGTCCAGCGGCTTTTCCGTCATCGAGAGTTCGTGGCATGTTTTAAGGTGGTCTGTTGGCAGCAGCGCCTCCATACCAGCATGAGGGTGATTCGACGGCTGTTGGGGTGCACTTCCTGGGAGGGTTATTTCAGCATTGGCGCTGGCACATTCGTGGCAGAAAACTACCCTAATCCGGATAATGCAGCTGGATCCCGCGTAACCCGGCTTCATCTAGCCTCGCCCGCTTCATCCCATATTGAATCCAGTTCAATCCAGCCATATTGCCCCTTGATTGGGCTTGACAACCCTTAAACGTTCTTACGAAGACTTCCAAGAAGTGGCTTCCTGACACAGCGAGCATGGAGAAGGTGAGTGGGGTTAGCTCGGCTTCGTACCCGCGCCAGGCAGCAGCGGAACCTTCGCGCTTCAACGACGTCGCGGATGTGAGGCGCTTGGTGGTTGGGGCGACATGTAGCAGAGGTTCTCGGCAGATGTAGAAGGTGTGCGTGCTGAGGTTTGCATCTCAGAAGACAATACATATTTTCCGAATAATCGTGCAAATTTCTTGGAACGGCGCTGGACCCCTCCCTGGCGCTCCAGGGGCGGCGGCATGGGCGGCGCCGGAGGCGCTGCCAAGGGGACCCAGCGCCGATCCAGTAAATCCGCGCAGAGTTTCGAACGTGAATGCTTATGCGGTAAGATGTTCCTCCAGAGCGAGCTTTGTGGACAGGGCGCACGAGAGGACACAAGACCCTTCCAATGGCCACATTGCCACAGGAATATAGGAGGCATGGGTCGCGAGACACAGGACACAAGGGTACTCTTGATTTGGGAGGGTCGACCTACTAATCAGGGCCGACTGTAGGCCTGTCGGGCTGAGATGCGAGGGCGCGAAGTGTGGGTTAACCTTGAGCCGGGCATCGGTGTCCTGAGAGCACGGCGAGCGAATTTGGGGGTTGCTCGGCCTCTCGTGCGAGCAGTGTCGGGGATCAGTCGTGTTTGTTGTCTGGTGTTTGCTGCTTCCCAGAGGAGGAACCAGACCTCTGTCTGCGTGATTTGTTGTTTGTGGCCTTCGCAATTCTTCATCCCATTTCTGGCCTGATTTTTTGTTTGGTTTCTTAACAGGGGCCCAGGGCCCGAAGATGGTCCACCTGGGGGCTGACATCGAAAACGCTGGTCTCCACCAAGTCACCACGACAGAGGTCTGGGGAAAAGGGAGCACTCTCTCCTCACACTTCCTGGCGGCGCGGACAAGGGGGTGTGGTGAGGGGGGCGGTTGTCCAACCCAGCACGGGGCCTCTGACCTCTTGGACTATCGTGGGGACTGTGTATATGTTTGCAAGAAGCTGCAAGCCGGTACCACACCCTCCTGGCCTTAGTGGGCCCCGGAAACGGCAGGGCTGTGTTTTCACCGTTTCCGAAAAAGTGTCCCTTGAAAATGGACACGGCAAAAAAAAAGGCGACAGGAAACGGCAACAAAAACGGCTCCAGGATTGGAACCGGAGCGGGAGCCCGTAAAAGAACGGCGACGGGACCGGTAAACAAACGGCGTCGGAACCGGCAACCAAAACGGCAAAACGGAACCAGTAAACAAAAAAACTGACCTGTCGTTTCCAGGGCCCACTGAGCTCCTGGCATCCGCCCCGACAGTTGCCGAGCTGCGCCCAGCCTTGGCCGCGGGAACCTTCCTCAACGGCACCGTAACGGGTACTTACTATGGGTACTTTGCAATTTTGCCGAACGTTGCCACTTTAGGGCCTCTTTCTGGCAATGCAGCGTTGCCCGCCTCGGGAAGGGTTGGGTTCGCTGGGTCACTGGGCAAAGTACCCGTTAGTGGAGTCCCTGTTTGAGGGGCGCTGACTTCCAGGAAGGTGGAGGAGCCGGGGGGGGGCGTCATCCATCGGCCACGCGCCGAGGGGCCCGAGAGGGGGAGGAGGGAGGTTTCTTAGAAGCACCCCATGCCTCTTAGAAGGCGCTGGCCTCGTCTATAGATGTAAGGTCAGGGCCTTGCGGTGAGCGGCTTGAATAAGGAACACTTACTTTTCAAAAGGGGCTCGGTCGTTCCTTAGGCTTGCATGCGTTATTTACAGTTCCTTATGCGTTATTGATTATTTATCGTTCCTTGTGCGTTATTCCTTGGGATAAAAAAAGGGGCTTCGTTCCTTATGTATCGTTCCTTAGGTCAGGCCGATGACTGTATAAGAAGCAGGGTGCTTCTAAGAAGCCTCCCCCCCTCCCCCTTACCCCCTTTGGCGCGCCGCCACATCCGCCCACCTCACCGAGCCTGGTCAGGCCCCTTCTGGGTTGGCCCAGGATCGGCGAGGCTTTGGATGGGGCGGGGGCGAGGACAAATCAGTTCCAGAGCGCTCCGGACCGCTCTCAGAGCGCTCTGGAGACCTCTGAGAAGGCCGCGGCGCCCGATACATCCTCCAGAGCCGCCAGATCTCAGAGCTTCTCGATTTAGCCTCACCCGAGTTGGTCCTCGTCCTGGCTTCGTCTCAGAGGTTGGTTGATGCCCCCCGACAAGAAGCGAGCAGGACTCACAGGCAGAACCTGACGGGCCGAGCCGCCGAGAGCGCCCTCCTCCAGCCCGCCCTCCCCCCCCCGCCGCCAGCAGCGCGATCCCGAGCTTCTTCGGCCTGCAGGATCGGGCCGCCCAAGGGGCTGTGCGGGGAGGGGGGGGCGCAGCCGAGTGGTTCGCTGACGGACCGTTTTCGGGCAGAGGCGGTTTGCGAACACAGTCGGGAGGCACTGTGGGGTGCTTGGATGTTGATCAGCCACGTGATGTCGAAGCAGTGGAGACAGGCATGGTATGGTGACCACGGTGAGACCAGAGCGCATCGGGCTTTCAAGCCGATCTTCTGTGATGCAGTGGCATACGATTGCGTCCGCTTCTGCATTGCCGAGGTCATCCGCTACAGCTACACCCCTTGTATGTGGGCCTCCGCGTTTCTTTTATGTCTCATGCATGCCAGCATTTCACGCTTTGCGGTTGCCCGCCCTGGAAGGACAAAAGTGGAAGTCAGAGCGATACGGGTGGAATGACGTTTAGACGTGCGTGGTCGTATCCAGACGGTGCAGAGGACCTGGTTGCCTTGTCTTTTTTATGACATGTGTTGCATCCTCTGTTGGATGGTCGCTCATTTCGATGCTTCTAGATACCCGTCCGTTCTCGGAGCCTCACGATTACCGGACGTTATAATTTGTGTATTGTTGCCGTCTCGCGCGCGTCACCCGACCGTACATGATTGAAGCAATTCGTCATCGTTTGTGTTTGCAGTTTCTCGACCGTGTGAGTAAAAGGTGCATCTGCATGTAGCAGGTGAAGCTGGTGGTAGTACGCCGTTCAACAGTCGTCTCCGCAGTTTTTTAGAATATCTCACCTAAGCTACTTGAGCGAAACTACACAATTAGATTGCCAAGTCCAACTTGATCAGGTCTGATGGTGGCAGGGCGTCGTTTGCTTCCTGTTGCCAATGTGGCTAATTGTTAGACGCTGCGCTTGTCCCGACCATACCATTGTGAGACGGATCGAGGGCAAGTTGCCGTGAGAAGGGAAGTAGAAAGGCAGTCGTTAAGCGAAGAGGGTGCATCAGTCAAACAGAAATTGGTATCAATCCGTGCAGCTTCGAACAGCGGTTTTCTCAGAGACTTCTGCGAGCCTCTACGGGGCTTTCTGGAGTCATCCCACCCCATCCAGCATCCCCCATCTGTCTTCCGCCTCCTCTCCAATCTGATCTGTACATTGCCATTTTGACTGAAGTCCGTATCGGTGGGTCTGGACAGTACAGCGATTCATTTGCATTGGGAAACAGTCAGCACAAACCGCTTTCGTACCGAAGGCCAGGTTGACCTTTGCGCTGTCATTCCGCACTGAGTATTGACATCTCCCATACATACTGGATGCGCGTGCTCCGACATCTTATAGTATATGCTCGGTAGGTGGCGCTCTCTGGCCGTGCCGCTCAGGTAACGATGCTCTACAAGATGTGCATACTGTACGTTCGGTTCGGACGTGTGACTCCAAGGGAGTCTCATCGTAAAAGTACGTTCTCCTGCATACCATGAGTACGCGATCAGTTCCGGCGCACACATGACGCCGAATCGTGCTTGGCTTCCTTTGCTTTTCGTCCCTGCTTTGAGGGGATCATGAGCACCATGAGGTGAGGTCAGCTGAGGCATGGGACGTGGTGGGCTGGACCTCTGTCAGGACGCGAGGTCTCAGGGTTTTTGCTTGCACTGTCCGCAGGCGACTGCAAGGGCCCTGACATCCTTCGGGGGCCCCGCCCGATCGGCTACAGGTGCATCCCCAGCCAACCGTCCGCATTCCAGTGCTGCTTCGGAGGGGGGCGGAGAAACTCCCCCTCGTTGTAAGCCTAGAGGTTAGCACCAACACCAATATCGGCGGTGTGCCTCCAACGAGGAAATGATCCCGATCTCGGCGATGGTGGTAATATGCAGGCTCCATATGTGGCCGAAATGTGATCACCAACCATAGAATTTAGGATCATCTTCCCCCCGGTGGAGGCAATCCTCTGGACTGGTGCTCGTGCCCATTTCCAAGCAACCTCGCGAGCTCCAATGCCCCTCCTATCGGGCTCTGAGCCTTCGTCCCTTCGCTGTCAATGGAGCCTGCGCGCCGCTGCCGGAGATCAGTCTCCGAGCCAAAGGCCGGGGCCGAGGCCCTCGGGCGCTTTGGTCGTCGCGGCGCGCGCCGAAGCCGAGGCCGAGCTCGGGAAAGGAGCCTCGCAGGAGCCCAGGAAGAGCTCCGAAGCAGCCGCGGAACGGCTTGCGGCAAATGAAACGGGAACGATCAGAACCAAAAACACTTCCGGGACGCGCTGCAACCTCAGGCAAGCTTCCAGACTTCCAGAACTCCGGGAAGTTCGATTTCGTTCCCTGGAGGGGCGTGTGGGCCTGGTGCTGCACACGTGCTTGCACCACAAGCCGCTGAGCGGGGCGGCCGAGTGCTCGGCCATGAGGCATGACCGCCGTTTCTTACCAGCCTGGAACATATCCCTATCCCTATGCTGGGCACGTCCTCATCACGATGCCAATCTTAGGGACCCCCTTATTTTTTTAGGGTGAATCCCTACGATTGCCATCGCCTTTTGGCGTGTCGATCTTAGGGATAGGGAAACGCTCGAGGCTGGTAAGTTTCAGCGTCGCTCTGTCCGTCTATCTGCGACCCTCCCTGCCCAGGGACAGGTCGTCGCTGCGGCCATCGCGTTCCTCGCCCGCGCTCCTTGGCGGTGGGCGCGTGCCGCTGCGGCGGGCGCGTGCAGCCCGTGGCGCGGCCGGTGGCCTCTACAGCGCCTCGTGGGGCCCGCGCGGGGCCACCGGCTTCCCGGTGAGCTTCTCGGGCCGGGCGAAAGGGGGGGATTGGGAAAGGGGGGGTTATAAAACGACGCGAAGATCAGGACAAAAGCGGATCGGGATAACTCGAAATCTCTGAGAATCGGCGGGTTTGGAGGATGTATTGGGCGCCGCGGCCGCTCCAGAGCGTTCCGGAACGCTCTGAGAGCGCTCCGGAACGCTCTGGAGCGATTTATCCCGATCCTAGCCCTGTTTTAGGGAAAGGGGGGGGTACGAAATCTGCTGCATGCAGCTGGTTTCGGCCCCGCCGAGGGGCCCATTCCTCGATACATGGCCGCCTCCCGGCGCCGGGAGGCGCCGGGAAAGTCAGCTACGTGAGCTGATCCTCAACCCCCCTTTCGCCCGACCCGAGCTTCTGTTGCACTTTCAGCCCCGGCTAGGTCGCCGACTCAGAGGATGAAAAGGTACCCATACTTCTACCCCTCACCCGTGTTCCCCTTTTTGCTGGGCCTCCTGGGAGGCCCTCGTCGCCGCCGCTGGGTTCGTCTCGATGTTCTGGTCAGAAGGTAACCCGGGAGAGGTCCAGGGGGTGGCGGTATCGGTACTTTTCGGTCTCCCCGCCGACGCGCTGGTGACCGTCCAGAGCCCTGCGGAGACCCCGCCGATCTCTAGGTGACCTTCTGAGCTGGGGCCTTCCCAGGCCCCCCGCGAAATCACCGACCTGCTCTGCCGCGTCCCTTCTCTTGCCCCTTCCTCCTCCCCCTCCTCCTCCTCCTCCTCCTCCTTCCTTTCTTCCTCCTATGTTTGTCCGTGGTTTTCCTCAGGGCGTTCCCGCAGGACAAGTTTTGCATCAGGTGTTCTGTTGTGGCCTGAGTCAGATCTCTTCGTCTGGGAGCGTGTTTCGCAGCGATGCGCGCTGCGGACCGCTGCCCGCATCTCCGCCCCCCCTCTGTTCCCTCCCCTTCCTCCTCCTCGTCCTCGTCCTTCTTGCGAGAACGTTGCGTGGTTATGCTGCACAAGCCAAGGCTCCACGCGCGGGCTCGCCTATTGCAGGTAGGTCTTCCGCTGCTTGCTCCCCTCTCGCGCCCCCTTCCCCCTCGCGGGCGTCCCCTCCCTCCCCCCCCGTTTCTTCGGGAGTGGACAGAAACCCCAATAGTGACACGTCGATTTGTGGATTGTCCCTTTTCAGTTCTCGAGAGGGCTCCGCGGCCGTTGTTTTCCAGGCTCGCGCCCGCCAGGTTTTGGCCTCAGGTAGTTTTCACTAAACCACGTTTTTCAGGAGGGAAAAAACACACAGACACAATTAATCGTCGATTCCCAGAAAATATGGGAAAATATGGGAAGTGGGGGGGAAGACAGAAACCCAGAAAATATATGAAAATATGGGGAATCTGTTTATTTGTGTGTATTTATTTGTGTGTCCCAGGGCCCCTTCAGTTTTACTAAAGGGAGGTCTGTCCATCCCCGAGTTCTGTGCGCAGCGACCCTCAGATCCCCTCTCCCTTCGCAGAGGGTCGTGCCCCAGCGTGTCCTTGGAACCGCTCGGGCGTGTGCACTTTCTCTCGGCGGGGATTATTTTAGGTTAAGTCGGGCCTGTCCCCCTACAGGGGGATGTTCGACGAACAATAAAAGATTCCCCCAACATTTAAAAAAATTGTCCAAACATAGTCTGGGGACTACTTTATGAGTATGTGTTTGACCTTCTTGGGATATGCTTGGGGTATTTGTTATTTTTCGTCGAAAATCCCCCTGTAGGGGGACACGCCCGACATAATAGTAAGGAGCATCCTGGATCATCCTGCGAGAAAAAAAACACGCACGACGACGAACAACAACACAGGGAATGGACGTCCGAGCGATGGCTCGCTTCCTCCTCCTCCTCCTCCTCCTCCTCCTCCTCCTCCTCCTCCTCCTCCTCCTCCTCCTCTTCCTCCTCCTCCTCCTCCTCCTCCTCCTCCTCCTCCTCCTCCCCCTACTCGTCCTCCTCCTCCTCCTCCGCCTCCTCCTCCTCCGCCTGAGTGGGCGGGGGGCCTCTGAGAAGGGCGCGCGGGCTCGCAGTTCGGAGGAGCAGGAGGTCATGAGAGTGCTGCGCTCCTGGACTTCTGGGGAGCCCCCTTGTGTCCAGATGTTCCACATGGGCCTGCAGGAGCGATCGCCGCTGGATGATCTGGAGATCCTGGCACGCATCCCGAGCCAGTCCTGTCTCGTGACGCTGCTCCCGTCCTGCCAGCACGGCTTCCTGGAGGCAGAGTGGGCTTCCCAGCTGCCCCCGCCCCCCCCCTCTTCCTGGAAGCCCCCCCTCCGCCTCCTCAGAGCGCCAGGCTTCTCCGCGCGCCGCCCCGACCAACATTTTTTTGTGTTGGACCAAAGAATTTGTTTTGGGGGGCGTCCCGAGACCAAACCATGTTTTTTTATTGGTTCCGGGACCCCAGAAACAATATTTTGCCCCAACACAGATGTTGTTTGGCAAACCAATTTGCTTGTTGGGTCCCGAGGCCAAGCAATGAAATTCGTTGATCTCGAGACCAAGAACTACCACATCTTCTCGGGGGGCAAAAAAAATGCTTGTTGGGTCCCGAGACCGAACAAACATTCTTTGGCCCCAAACAAATCAAAATCTGTGCTCGCCGGCCCTCGCCCTCCCCCCACCCGCCGTGCTCTGCCCCCTCCCCTGCACCGCCCCCGGTGGCCCGAGGAGCGGGCGACGGCGCTGGTGTACCCCATGTGCAGGCGCGCGGTGCTCCTCCTCCTCCTCTTCCTCCTCCTCCTCCTCCTCCTCCTCCTCCGCCTCCTCCTCCTCCTTCTCCTCCCTCCTCCTCCTCCTCCTCCTCCTCCTCCTCCTCCTCCTCCTCCTCCTCCTCTCCTCCTCTCCTCCTCCTCCCCCCTCCTCTCCCCTCCATCCTCCTCCTCCTCCTCCTCCTCCTCCCTCCTCCTCCTCCTCCTCCTCCTCCTCCTCCTCCTCATTCCCGTCCTCCTCTTCCTCCGCCTCCTCCTCTCCTCCTCCTCCTCCTCCTCCCTCCTCCTCCTCCTGCTCCTCCTCCCTCCTCCTCCTCCTCCTCCTCCTCCCTCCTCCTCCTCCTTCTCTCCTCCTCCTCCTCCCTCCTCCCTCCTCCTCCTCCTCCCTCCTCCTCCTCCTCCTCCTCCTCCTCCTCCTCTCCTTTCCTCCTCCTCCTACCTCCTCATCCTCCTCCTCCTCTCCTCCTCCTCCTCCTCCTCACTCCTCCTCCTCCTCCTCCTCCCCCTTCTTCCTCTTCTCCCCTCCTCCCTCCTCCTCCTCCTCCTCCTCCTCCTCCTCCTCCTCCTCCGTTCTCCTCCTCCTCCTCCTCCCACACCTCCTCCTCCTCCTCCTCCTCCTACCCTGACACGTCGATCCGCGAATTGGCCGCCGCTTTCGGTTAGCGAGAGGGCGTCGCGGCCGCCGTTCTGCGGCTCTGGGCCCGTCGGTCTCGGCCCCAGGCCGTTTCCACTACTGGGGAGGTTTGCCAAAGGGAGGCTTAAAACAGTGCTAGGATCGGGATAAATCGCTCCAGAGCGTTCCGGAGCGCTCTCAGAGGGTTCCGGAACGCTCTGGAGCGGCCGCGGCGCCCAATACATCCTCCAAACCCGCCGATTCTCAGAGATTTCGAGTTATCCCGATCCGATTTTTTCCCGATCTTCGCTGGCGCGGGCGGTCGCGCCGCCTCGGCGTCTGCCTCTGCCGAGGGAGAGCCCCGCGTTCGGAGTCTCGGCGGCGGGCGAGGGAGGAGGAGGAGGGGGGGCGGAGGAGGGGGAGATGAGGAGGAGGATGAGAAGGAGTAGAGGAGGAGGAGGAGGAGGAGGAGGGGAGGAGAGGAGGAGGCGGAGAGGAGAGGAGGAGGAGGAGGAGGGCGAGGAGGAGGAAGGAGGAGGGTAGGAGGAGGAGTTGAGGAGGAGGAGGGGGAGGATGAGGAGGAGGAGGAGGGAGGAGAGGAGGAGGAGGAGGGGGAGGTGAGAATGAGAAGGCCTCGCTCGGAGGGCGGCAGGGCTCCTCGGGAGCGCCCCGGGCCTCCCGAGAAGTCTGCCGTGCCTTTCGGGGGAGGCGCAGAGAAGATTTCAGGGGGCCGGGGGACTTCCGAGCCTTCTGAGAAGGCCTTGGCCTTCTCGCTTCCCCCCCCCGGGTTCGCAGCCGACATATATATATATATAGAGAGAGAGAGACATAGAAAAAGGGAGGGGAGAGAGATAACGAAGGGATTGGGGAGTTGGAGAGGAGCGCAGGGGAGCGTGACAGGAGCTTGGGAGGAGGAGGAGGAGGAGGAGGAGGAGAGCCGAGGCAATCGCTCGCGGAGGGCCGACCAGGTCTTCGCATGGTTGTTTATATTACGTTATGTGAACGCTCGGGTTAATATGTAAGTTTTGTGGCGTTGGTTGCATACTGTGCTAGAGTAGCAATGTATTGACATGTGTTTGATGCTTAGTTGTCTCTCAAATCGGCCAGGGCGTTTGTTGTCTGTGTTCGTTTTCCGCTCTCGGTACACTGAAAACGAGAATATAACGAGACGCGGAAACGAACAACAACATGGCGCCGCGGGGGAGCGACAACGAAGAAGCAACCAAAAACAGCCGCTGAAAACCGCGCCCTCCAGAACCTTCCGAGGCCCCCGAAACGGAAAACAACGGCGGATTGCTTCTCAATTTGCCCGAGTCCGTGGCCTGCATTTCGGCCGCGTTCGCAGGACTGGGCTGCGGGGGTGCATGCTTGCTTACGGCACGCGTATTGACGGCGCGCTTGATGAGTCTCGCCGTCCACTCGCATCCACTCCTAAATACCGAATGGAGGAATGATTTTCCTTTCAGGGGGCGGGCAAATGTTTTGATGGCCGTCCTGGTCACGCGTTGCTTGGTGTGCGCCGCCATCCCGAGCCCACGGGCCCTGCGCACCCTCGACTGAGACGGCTGCGTCGGGGGGGATTGAGTCAGTTGTTGTTGTTTCCGTTGAAGCTCCCCGTGGTCCCCCTCGCCGACAGACGAGGCTCCCCGTGGCATTTTCGTCTGCATTGGCCCCTTCGGCTCAAACATGTACCACGTCCTTCTCAGTCGCTTTGTCCTTCTCTCTCTGTCTCTCACTCTCTCTCTCTCTCTTTCTCTTTCTCTTTCTCTCTCTCTCTCTCTCTCTCTTTCTCTTTGTCCCCCCTTCTCTCTCCAGTATATATAGTCCAGGGCTTGCCCCACCCCCCACCCCAATGCTGATGCCATTGGGCCCCCCTCCCCCCCCCGCGCGATGGTCCCCCCCGCCCCCCCCTGTGGGCGTGGCGTGGTGCTGCGCTGCGGTGCCCCCCTCCTCCCCCTGTGGATGTGGTGTGGTGCTGTGGTGGTTCAGAGGTGGGCGTGGCGTGGTGCTGCGCTGCGGTGCCCCCCTCCCCCCCCCCTGTGGATGTGGTGTGGTGCTGTGGTGGTTCAGAGGTCGTCGTCGTCGTCGTCGCCGTCGTCGTCGTCGTCGTCCTCGTCGTCCTCGTCTTCCTCGCCGTCGTCGTCGTCATCGTCGTCGTCGTCGTCGTCGCCGTCGTCATCATCGTCATCGTCGTCGTCGCCGCCGCCTGGCGTCGTCGCCGCCGCAGCCGTCGTCGTCGTCGTGGTCGTCATCGCCATCGTCGTTGCCGTCGTCGTAGTCGTCGTCGCCGTCGTCGTCGTCGTCGTCGTCGTCGTCGTCGTCTCTGGGACCATACCATCTTGGGGGGGGGGGCCGAGGAATCCTGGGATCATACCATCTGGGGGGGGGACCCGAGGGCCCGGAGCCCGGGATCATGTATGCTGAGCGCCTGCTCCTCCACACGTCCGCGCCATGATCACGTGCCATTCTGTGGCTATGCATCAGGTTTCGCACCATAACAAGACCATGGTTTATAACTCGTGGTTGGAGTGGTCATTTGACGACCTCCCGTCACGGAAGCTCTCAGGGGTGCCTACATTTGGAACCACAACTTCCACGCGGCGTCTTCAGACAGCAAGATCTCGAAGATCGACAATGCGGTGACCCGCCAGGGGGGAGCGCAGTTGATCACAGCTCCCCGATCTCCCCCGGCATGCTGCGGGCCTGCCACGATGTTGATTGCGGCGGGTATGGGCAGAGGCGGGTGGGCAGTGAGTCGAAGGATGACCGCGGTGCAGCTTTGATGGGGGTCTTATCTGGTGGGCGTGAATCATCATCATCATAGCGTTGCGTCGGGCCTGTGACCCTCGACAGGGGGACTATTCAAGAATAGTCAAAAACTGGTGCGGGGACGATCTTTTGAACACTTTTGAGTATCCGTAAGGGCGTCGCCCCCTGCCGCCGGCCCCCTCTCTCGGAGAATGGGCCATGGAAGAGCTAAGTCATGAGGCTTTGGCGCTGTCGTGCAGCAGTATCGGAACTTCATGCGAGGCCGATTCGCAATCGGCAAAACCAATTGATCACAAGAGGGGTTACCACACAGGGCGATTGGTAAGACGTGTATGGTTTACGAGCTTGGTTACCACACCTTGGGAATTAAAGGGCCGAGGGAGTACTCGCAGTTTGGGTTACCACGCCTTGCGATGAATGTGCGTGAGGGGTGGCACCGAATTTCAGAAATGTGGCAAATCCCTGTGTTTTTGGACCCTGACCCCGCGGATCTGCGTGAGGGGTGGCACCGAATTTCAGAAATGTGGCAAATCCCCTGTGTTTTTGGACCCTGACCCCGCGGATCTGCGTGAGGGGTGGCACCGAATTTCAGAAATGTGGCAAATCCCTGTGTTTTTGGACCCTGACCCCGCGGATCTGCGTGAGTCGAGCCCCCCCAGCAATTCAGACAACGCGCCCAGGTGAGGCTAAAAATCCTGTTTGGGCCTCCCCCCCCCTCGCGCGGTCAATCAACTAGTTACAGTAACCAGCAAGAAGTCAACTAGTTACAGTAACCAGCAAGAAGCAGAACTGTAACACTGGAAACTACAACCTACGACTGGTACAGGAAACTGCGAATCACGTGCCTACAGCCTGGTGGCCCCACAAGGGGGCCGGCGGACTTTGGGGTATTTGTGTTGACTATTTTTATAGAAACCCGAGGGTAGACGTCGCGAGGATGCCCCCGGTGTGCCCAGGGGGCGTGGGGGAATCCTGAGGAAAGAAGAACAGACGACACGGAGGAACGGCGGCCACCGTCTGACGCGGCAGATTGCCAAGACGGACATGCCGCTGCCTCTCCCTGGCAGCCGTCGCAACACGAAACCTGCGCTAGACGTGCCCGTCGGATTCTCGCCAGGAACTCCACGCCCAGAACTCCACTATTTTTGTTCCCAACCCTCCTGCGTTGGGTTCTCGTTTTGAATAGAGCAGTGCGGTCGCGTCTCCTCCTCCTCCTCCTTCCCGCCTCGTTCCTCCTTTCCTCTTCCCCCCTGCATCTCACCTTGCTCGTCGCCGCGTAACAGCTTGCCTCCTGCCTGGTCATCCCTGTGCGGGGCTGCGATCTGCGAAACTGTCGCCACTTTCGAGGGCTGCTGGGGGGCCCAGCGGAGTGGGGTCATACTCAGACCCAGATTAGACCTCGCCATCCCTGGGGGGGCTGCGATCTGTGAAACTGTCGCCACTTTCGAGGGCTGCTGGGGGGTCCAGCGGAGCGAGGCACCACGGGGATTCACATTAGACCTCGCCATTTGTGGGGGCTGCGATCTGTGAAACTGTCGCCACTTTCGAGGGCTGCTGGTGGGTCCAGCGGAGTGAGGCACCACGGGGATTCAGATTAGACCTCGCCATCTCTGGGGTGGCTGCGATCTGTGAAACTGTCGCCACTTTCGAGGGCTGCTGGTGGGTCCAGCGGAGTGAGGCACCACGGGGACTCAGATTAGACCTCGCCATCTCTGGGGGTGGCTGCGATCTGTGAAACTGTCGCCACTTTCGAGGGCTGCTGGTGGGTCCAGCGGAGTGAGGCACCACGGGGATTCAGATTAGACCTCGCCATCTCTGGGGGGCTGCGATCTGTGAAACTGTCGCCACTTTCGAGGGCTGCTGGTGGGTCCAGCGGAGTGAGGCACCACGGGGACTCAGATTAGACCTCGCCATCTCTGGGGGGGGCTGCGATCTGTGAAACTGTCGCCACTTTCGAGGGCTGCTGGTGGGTCCAGCGGAGTGAGGCACCACGGGGATTCACATTAGACCTCGCCATCTGTGGGGGGCTGCGATCTGTGAAACTGTCGCCACTTTCGAGGGCTGCTGGTGGGTCCAGCGGAGTGAGGCACCACGGGGATTCAGATTTGACCTCGCCATCTCTGGGGTGGCTGCGATCTGTGAAACTGTCGCCACGTTCGAGGCCTGCTGGGGGGCCCTGCGGAGTGAGGCACCACGGGGATTCAGATCAGACCTCGCCATCTATGGGGGCTGCGATCTGTGAAACTGTCGCCACTTTTGAGGGCTGCTGGGGGGCCCAGCGGAGTGGGGCACCACGGGGATTCAGATTTGACCTCGCCATCTCTGGGGGTGGCTGCGATCTGTGAAACTGTCACCACTTTCGAGGCCTGCTGGGGGGCCCAGCACAGTGAGGGCCCCACGCAGACTCAAATTAGACCTCGCCATCTGTGGGGGGCTGCGATCTGTGAAACTGTCGCCACTTTCGAGGGCTGCTGGTGGGTCCAGCGGAGTGAGGCACCACGTGGATTCAGATTAGACCTCGCCATATGTGGGGGCTGCGATCTGTGAAACTGTCGCCACTTTCGAGGACTGCTGGTGGGTCCAGCGGAGTGAGGCACCACGGGGACGGGGACTCCGATTAGACCTCGCCATCCGTGGGGGGGCTGCGATCTGTGAAACTGTCGTCACTTTCGCTGGCTGCTGGGGGGCCCAGCGGAGTGAGGCACCACGGGGACTCAGATTAGATCTCGCCATCCCTGGGGGGCTGCGATCTGTGATGTGAAACCGTCGCCACTTTCGAGGGCTGCTGGGGGGCCCAGCGGAGTGAGCCCCCACGGGGACTCAGATTAGACCTCGCCATCGCTGGGGGGGGGGGCTGCGATCTGCGAAATTGTCGCCAGTTTCGAGGGCTGCTGGGGGGGGGCAGCGGAGTGGGGTACTCAGATTCGACCTCGCCATGCCTGGGGGGACTGCGATTTGCGAAACCGTCGCCACTTTCGATGGCTGCTGGGGGGGCAGCGGAGTGGGTCCTACGCAGACTCGGGCTCGACTTCGCCATCCCCGAAGGGCTGCGATCTGCGAAACTGTCGCCACGTTCGAGGGCTGCTGGAGGGCCCAGCGGAGTGGGGACATATTCGGATTCAGATTAGACCTCGCCATCCTTGGGTGGCTGCGATCTGCGAAACTGTCACCACTTTCGAGGGCTGCTGGGTGGCCCAGCGGAGTGACGTCATACGCGAGCCTGGGGCTTTACTCCTCGTTCTTTCGATCGTCGTCCTGTGAGCCGTGCAATGCGTGCGCATCCCATGTAGTTTGCACAGCAATTCACATCGCCTACAGTATCGTTGTTCCTGCTAATGCTAGCCTACTCCTCTTGCCACTTGCTGCACGTGGGTTGGGTACGTCGCAGGGTAATTATTTGTTCGTCCAACATCGGCCTGAGTCCCTCTACAGGGGGAATGCTCAGAAACAGTCCCCAAAATAGTACGGGGACGGTTCTTGGAACACTCTTGAATCTTTTAGGGTATTTTTGTTGACTATGTTTTTATTCCCAACCCTCCTTGGTTGGGTATTCGTTTTGAATAGAGCAGTGTGGTCTCCACTCCGTCCTTCCTCCTCCTCCTCCTCCTCCTTCCTCCCTGCCTCTTCCTGTCTTGCCTGCGGGGGGCTGCGATCTGTGAAACTGTCGCCATTTTCGAGGCCTGTTGGGGGACCCAGCAAAGTGATGGCCCCGCGCAGATTCAAATTAGACCTCGCCATCCCTGGGGGGCTGCGATCTGTGAAACTGTCACTATTTTCGAGGCCTGCTGGGGGGGCCAGCACAGTGAGGGCCACGCGCGGATTCAAATTAGACCTCGCCATCCCTGGGGGGGCTGCGATCTGTGATACTGTCGCCATTTTCGAGGCCTGCTGGGGGGCTCAGCACAGTGAGGGCGCCGCGCAGATTCAAAATAGACCTCGCCATCCCTGCGGGGGGCTGCGATCTGTGAATCTGTCGCCACTTTCGAGGCCTGCTGGGGGGGCCCAGCAAAGTGAGGGCCCCGCGCAGATTCAGATTTGACCTCGCCATCCCTGGGGGGCTGCGATCTGCGAAACTGTCGCCATTTTCGAGGCCTGCTGGGGGGCCCAGCACAGTGAGGGCGCCGCGCAGATTCAAATTAGACCTCGCCATCCCTGGGGGGCTGCGATCTGTGAAACTGCCGCCATTTTCGAGGCCTGCTGGGGGGGGCAGCACAGTGACGCCACGGGCAGATTCAAATTAGACCTCGCCATCCCTGGGGGGGCTGCGATCTGTGAAACTGTCGCCATTTTCGAGGCCTGATGGGGGGCCCAGCACAGTGAGGGCCACGGGCAGATTCAAATGAGACCTCGCCATCCCTGGGGGGGGCTGCGATCTGTGAAACTGTCGCCACTGTCGAGGCCTGCTGGGGGGCCCAGCACAGTGACGCCACGGGCATATTCAAATGAGACATTGCCATCCCTGGGGGGCTGCGATCTGTGAATCTGTCGCCACTTTCGAGGCCTGCTGGGGGGCCCAGCACAGTGAGGGCCACGCGCGGATTCAAATTAGACCTCGCCATCCCTGGGGGGGCTGCGATCTGTGAAACTGTCGCCACTTTCGAGGCCTGCTGGGGGGCCCTGCACAGTTACGCCACGGGCATATTCAAACGAGACATCGCCATTCCTTTGGGGCTGCGATCTGTGAAACTGTCGCCATTTTCGAGGCCTGCTGGGGGGCTCAGCACAGAGAGGGCCACGCGCGGATTCAAATTAGACCTCGCCATCTCTGGGGTCGAGGCCTGCTGGGGGGCTCAGCACAGTGACGCCCCGCGCGGACCCAAATTAGACCTCGCCATCCCTGCGGGGCTGCGATCTGTGAAACTGTCGCCACTTTCGAGGCCTGCTGTGATCCCCGTTTTCGAAGTGGCTAGGAGTGCTCAGGAATTGTAACTCATCAGCTTTATCAAGCCCTTTTCCTGTAGCCAGTGTCCTGCGAGTCTCCCGAATTCCGTCTGCAGACATATGTAACCCTCGTTCTGTCATCGCCCCTTTATAAAGTATCCTAAACTAGTTGCGCCCCGCTTTTGCGCAGGGGTTGGGTACGTCGCCAGGGTATTTGTTCGTCCAAACTCTGCCTGTAGGGGGGACAGACCCGACCTAATCATAGCGCTATGTCGGGCCTGTCCCCCCTACGGGGGGATTTTCAACGAGAAATGAAAAACAATTCAAACATACCCTCAAAAGGTTTAAACACCATTCAAAAAGTAGTTCCCATACTATTTTTGGATTATGGTTTCACTATGGTGGGGGTATTCATTTTGTACGTCGAAAACCCCCTGTAGCGGTGCAGGCCCGACCTATTTTTTATTATATGTTAGGATATTTGAGGATAATGATTATTTTTATTGATTGTTGTGAATAGTTTGAGAGAGCTTATGGTATTTGTGTTGACTATTGTTATTGTTTCGTCCAAACTCGGCCTGTAGGGGGACAGGCCCGACCTAATCATAGCGCTCAGGATCCCCTCTCCGAGAGTCGTGGAGCGCACTGCTCTGGAGCGGCGCCAGCGCCCGACGCACGTACTCCTCCTCCCCCTCCTTCTCCTCCTTCTCCTCCTCCTCCTCCTCCTCCCTCCTCCTCCCTCTCCTCCTCCTCCCTCCTCCTCCTCCCACTCCTACTCCTACCTCCTCCTCCTCCTCCCATCATCATCCCCTCCATCCCCTCCTCCTCCTCCTCCTCCATCCTCCTCCTCCTCTTCCTCCTCCTCCTCTCTCCTCCTCCTCCTCCTACTCCTCCTCCTCCCCCTCCTCCTCCTCCTCCTCCTCCTCCTCCTCCTCCTCTTCTCCTCCCCTCCTCCTCCTCCTCCTCCTCCTCCCTCCCTCTCCTTCTCCCCCTGCTCCTCCTCCTCCTCCTCCTCCTCCTCCTCCTCCTCCTCCTCCTCCTCCCTCCTCCTTCCTCTCCTCCCCCCCTCCTCCTCCTCCTCCTCCTCCTCCTCCTCCTCCTCCTCCTCTCTCCTCCTCCCCCCTCCTCTCCTCCTCCTCCTCCTCCTCCTCCCTCCTCCTCCTCCTCCTCCTCCTCCTCCTCCTCCTCCTCCTCCTCCTCCTCCCCCCCCTCCACCTCCATCCTCTGCTTGTCCCAACACGGTCGTGCGACCATCGTAGTGTTGGTCATGGCATAGGTTATGCGATGGAATTATTCCAGTTGCTTGCGGCGAGTCCAGCCACCGTGCCAGCCAAGCATGTTCGGTGGCAGATGCTCGAATTCGGGTGATGAGCGGATGATCATGAGGAGGAAAGGAGCAGGATGAATGTGGTTGACGAGGGGGACGACAAACATGATGGTGATGATAGGGGAGGATGAGGACGAGGAGGTTGTTTTGTTGTTGTTGTTGGAGGAGGAGCAAGCAGATCGAGGAGACGAGTCGTCGCTGATGTAGCTCGTGTGTTGATGCCATGCTCGGCTCCTACTGGGCCCTGGGAAGCCTTGGGGCTCTCTGAAGGGGTCTTGGAGACGTCCTGAAACGTCTTGGGTGCTCTCTGGGGCCGTCGGCGCATGTGACACCTTTCGTCTTCACTTCTTCAGGGGCTTTCTTGGAATTCGTGCCATCCACCATGCTTTTCGGGTATAGCTGTTAAGGCCTATTGGGTCCCTCTTGGGCCGTCTTAGGGCCAGCGTGGATGGTGATGATGGTGACGATGATGATCAGGATGGTGTTGATGACGATGTGGCTGTTGATGACGATGCTGGCGATGATCATACTTTCTTTGACGTCGATAATGATGATGGCTGTGGTGATGGTGGTGATACTGATGGTGGTGAAGCTGATGTCTGGGTTGTTGATGCTGATGATAATGCTGATGCTAGAGCGGGTGCTGATCTTGATGTTGATGTTGATGATGCTGATGATGATGATGATGATGTTGGGACATACGGATGGTGGTCGTGGCGGTTGTGTCGATGGTGATCGTGATGATGTTGATGCTGATGCTGGAGATGATGGTGATGATGCTGATGTTGATTGTGGTGATGATGACGACGCTGATGATGATGAGGATGCCGATGCTGATGCTGATGACGATGCTGATGCTGTTGATGATGCTGTTGGTGGTGGTGATGAGGATTTTACTGCTGATGATGATGCTGGCGATGAAATGATGGTGATGATGATGATGCTGATGATGATGATGCTGATGATGCTGATGATGATGGCGATGATGATGGCAGGTGTGGTGGTGATGGTGATGGCGATTGTGATGGTGATGGTGATGGTGATGGTGACGATGAATGCTGGTCTCCTCGGGCCTACTGGGGATCCTACGGGAGCCGTCGTGGATGCCTTTCGGGTCGTCTGGGGAGCACACTGGCCTGTTGGCGGCCTCGTGGTGGGACCCGCGGGGCCTCTTGGGGGTCCTTGGGGCCTCTTGGCAGCGTCTTGGGGGTGGGGGCGCCTCGGAGGCTTTTGAGGGCTCCTCGGGCCGTCGCGCTCTTGGGCCGCCAGGCCGCTTAGTCCGTCGTGGGTGGACTTTCTGGGCCGTCTTGGGGCCCTCTTGGGGACCCGGCGGGCCGTCGGGCCCCCTTGGGTCGACTTGGAGTTCTCTCGGTCCGATGTTGGGCCATCTTGGAGCCCTCTTTGGCCGTCTTCGGGGCGCCCTCGGGGGAACGCACTGGTTTGGGCCTCTTCGGGCCCTGCTCGAGGTTCTGTGCGAGCCCCATCGGGCAACATTGGGCTGTCTTGCGGCTGCATCGAGCCGTCTTGGAGGCATGTTGTCCCATATCGGTGGCCTTGAGGTTTGGATTGGCAGTCTTGGAAGCCATCTTGGGAGAGAGAGGGAGGCGGCAGGATGCCTAGGGAGCGTCGGCAGCGGGGGAGGGTAATTACATGCAGGGGAGCGTGAGGAGGGGGGGGTCTCTTAGATAACTACACAAACCCAGCCAGAAAGCATTTCACATGCTATCTCGCCTCAACGTGCCATGGGGCACGGTGGCGGGTATTGGTCTCCCCCAAAGAGTGTTTGCACTTTGGGGCTCTTACCTGTGTTCTAATGATCTGAGCCTGGGTGCTGGTCTGGCGGCTATTTTGCCTCTGTTTCCACCTCGTCGCCGTTCGTCGTATAGGCCCAGGTGGCGGTCTGGCGGCTATGTTGCCGCCGTCGCCGCCCCGTCGCCGCCTCGTCGCCGCCCCTTGTCAAGGGCCTGGGTGCTGGTCTGGCGGCTATGTTGCCGCCGTCGACGCCCTTCGTCTGGGCCTGTGTGCCAATCTGGCGGCTCCGTTGCCGCCGTCTCGGCCCCGTTGCCTCGTCGCGTGCATGCAAGCGGCCTTCGTAACAGGAGTTCCTTCGTCTCAATGGCTCGGGCATCCATTTCCGGCCCCGTGTCCTCGTTTCTCGCAAAGGCCATCGCTCTGAACGAGGCTCTCCAGGCATTCTCACAGATATTGTCGTCCAAGGTGGGGGCCGGTATCCAGGTGACTTAGGCTCTGCGGCAAAGAGAATGAATCGACGGCGAGCGAGGGTGGGGAAGTGAGAAGGAGGGGGCCTTCTCAGAAGGCGCCTGGGCTTCTCACAAGCCCTCCAGCCTTCTGAGCAGTGTTCTGCGTCTTCGTGGAAGGCTTAGAAAACTTCTCCGAAGGCTTGGGGACTTCCGAGCCTTCTGTGAAGGCCCACCCCTTTTCACTTCCCTTCGGATGCATCTCCTGCGAGGTCACACATTCTGACTTCGCCCTGGTTCGAAGTCTGGCTAAGTCCTGCTTACGCTGGCTTAGTCCGGTCGTTTCTCGCTTCATCTCGCTTGCTCCGCGGCCTAATCAGGCGCAGCAGCCCCCCAGTTGGGCTCAATTCTCCCTGGCCCTTCCGACGAAGACCTCCCAGCTGTTGCCTCCCATCGGGCCGAACGAAAGGGGGGGATAGGGAAAGGGGGGGTTTACGAAATCTGCTGCGTGCAGCTGTTTTCGGTCCCGCCGCCGGGCCCATTCCTCGATACATGGGCGCCTCCGGCGCCAGAAGGCGCTGGGACAGTCAGCTACGTGAGCTGATTCTCAAACCCCCCCTTCGCTATCCCCCCCCTTTCGCCTGGCCCGACAGTTGCCTCCTAACCTTCCCCCCCTGGGCCTCGCCTCAGGAAGAGAACAAACACACAGACACAATGAATCGTCGATCCCCGCAGAAAAAATATGGAAAAGATGGGCCGTGGGGGAGAAAGACAGACACCCAGAGAATGTGGGAGAGAGTATGGGGAATCCTGTTGTCTGCGTGTCTTCACTTGTGTGTCCCAGGGCCCCCTCATCGGCGCCGAGAGAAGGGGAGAGGGAGGAGGAGGAGGAGGAGAGGAGGGGGAGGAGGAGAGGAGGAGGAGGAGGAGGAGGAGGAGGAGGAGGAGGTAGGAGGAGGAGGAGGAGGAGGAGGAGGAGGAGAGGAGGAGGAGGAGGAGGGTCGAGGAGGAGGTCGCCTCATCGCCGCCGAGAGAAGGGAGGGGGGGCGAGGAGACCCTCGGCGACATCGCCGCCACGCGCGGCGAGGCGCTGGCCCCCCCCCCGCCCCACGCCGCGCGGTGCCCGCGGCTGGCGAGGGGGCGACCGGCCGCGGCGTCGGTAGACGCGGGTCGTTGGAAGGCGTAGTTCGGGCCGGGCGAAAGGGGGGGATAGGGAAAGGGGGGGGTACGAAATTTGCTGCATGCAGCTGGTTTCGGCCCCACCGAGGGGCCCATTCCTCGATACATAGCCGCCTCCGGCGCCGGGCGGCGCCGGGAAAATCAGCTACGTGAGCTGATTCTCAACCCCCCCCTTTGCTATCCCCCCTTTCGCCCGACCCGGGTGTCCCCCTACAGGGGGATTTTCGACAAAAAATGCCCCCCAAATAATTAAAACATATTCCAAAAATATTCCAGGGACTTTTTTTTAATATTTGTGTTTGCCATTTTGGGGCATTGTTTGATTTTTTTCATTTTTCGCCCAAAATCCCCCTGTAGGGGGACACGCCCGACTTAAAAGTGGGCATTTCGGGGGCATCCAGACCCCACCCTGGTCCAAGCGCCGTCCGACTCCAAGAATCGATGCGTGTTTGTTGTGCTTTGGTTCTTCTTGGGGCGGGCATCCTGGTCCCACCCTACTCCAAGCGCCTTCCGACTCCAAAAACGGATACATGTTTGTTGTGTTTTGGTTCTTCTTGGGGCGGGCATCCTGGTCCCACCCTACTCCAAGCGCCTTCCTACTCCAATAACCGATACGTGTTTGTTGCTCTTTAGTTCTTCTTGGGCCTTGGGGCGGGCCCGAACTCAATATATACTCCCACCCTAGTCTTGTGGAGGACGCTCAATGGCGAGGAAGCATGCTGCCACATAATTTCCAGATGTCTAAAACATGTTTCAACCATGTTTCAAATACGTAAAAACATGTTTCATACGTATTTTTAGAACATGTTTTACACAGCATAAACACATGTTTTATTCAATGGCAGGACTGTCAGAGTGTCCATTGCGATGGCATCCACAACCCTAGTCCAAGCGCCTTCTGACTCCAATAATCGATACGCGTTTGTTGTGCCTTCTTCTTCTTGGGGCGGGCTCGAACCCAATCTACTCCATCTGCCTTCCTGCTTTGTGTTTTTTTCTTATGCTCCTTCCGACTGGCGGGTATCCCCAGGTGCGCGGACTTGAACCTCTCTTGTCTGGTCTCTGTTTTTTTTGTGTTCTGCCAGCTCGCATTCCCCCCAACCCCGTGCATCAGAGACACTGGCACGGCGGGTGCTGGACCCACCCCAGAGACTACGTGCGCAAGTCAGGGTAAGCAGGTCGGCATCCACGTCGACTTCGTCGAGCTCCGAGGCACGATAGCCGCTCCCAGACATGTGTATGTAGTTTTTCTTTTGCCGATGCGCCGTCCATGCGCGGCTCTTGAGCGAGTGAGTGTTCTCGGGGGTTGGAGCGCGTCTCTGGGCGCAGAGATGGCCGGGCGCAGCACAGAACGGTCGGTCATGACGAGCCCCTGGATGAGTCTAGGGGTCAGCGATTCGGAGCGGATGGAGGGACAGGAGCATGGGGACTGGGATGATGTTCGTATGTTCTGCGCTAGCCCTGGGGTCCTTCGCCGCCACGGCTGGATTCACTTCCGAGTGGTCACTTCAAGATCCAGGGACCGATTTCGAGGGGAGGATGGGGGAGGAGGAGCAGGACTAAGGAGGGTGAGGAAGGAAGAAAGGGATGGGATGGGGAGGAGGAGGAGGAGGAGGAGGAGGAGGAGGAGGAGGAGGAGGAGGAGGTGGGAGGCACAGGAGGGTTTGAGGAGGAGGAGGAGGAGCAGGAGGAAGGGGATGATGGAATGAGAGAAGGTGGACTCCCAGAATGCTCCAAGACCTTCTCAATGTTTCTTCCTTCTCACTCCTTCGAGGAGGAGCAGGAGGAGGAGGAGGAGCAGGAGGAGGAGGAAGAGGAGAGGGGGCAATGGGGAGAAGGGGGAGGAGGAGCTGGAAGCAGACGTGGTAGGGTAAGAGAGGGATGCAGAAGGATGGAGTCGCAGGGACAGGGGTGGGGAGCAGGGACTAGTGCATATCAGAGAGTCACCAAATATGTTTCAATCAACCCTCCCTCGAAGCTTCTTCTTCATAGGTTCCTCAAAGTTTTCTGTCACTTGGGGAAGTGCCCAGTAGGAAGACAACCGTTATAGATTCCTCACGCTTCGCGTACCCCCACCAGTAAGTTGGTGAGGCGCCACCATATCCGGGTGGAATGGCAAAAGGTCACTGAAAAGTATCGTAGCTTACTACAGCGCAGCACAAGGACCAGTGCACCCAAGGGGCAAGATAGCGAGGGCCACCCATACCCTTGGTCCGACAGCAGCAGGACAGTACCCCTCCGGTCCCACCCGACAGGACGAGCCACCGCGAGCAGACCCCTCTAGCACACACAGCGGGGCTGTGCAGCAGCACCCGTGGAGCAAGCCCAGAGCCGGCACAGCCGCCCCGCCAGCGCACACCGACTACAGGGAGACCACCTGGTCGGGAGCATCCAGCTCTGGAGCCCCATGGCGCCCAAGGCCGCGCTGGGAAGGGTGGGACCACCAGGAGAGTTCATGGAGGGGCGCTGCGTGGGGAAGCAGGGAGAAGAGGACCGCCCCGAAAAGTGACGAGCAATACTCTGACAAGCGGCAGCGAGGAAGGGAACTCGCGCGCTGGTAGCCCGGCAGCTGGCCTGGCAGGGGCCCCCCGACCAGGACAGGGCCGACACAACCCAAAGCCTCCAAGGCGCACGGCGGTGGGCTCCAGGGACAACGAGTGACCCCCCTTCGCGGAAGACTTACCGCGCCCGTATACCGTGGGGTTGTCTTCCCCCAAGGACGGTCCCACCTCGGACTATGTCCTGCGGCTCTGGCCGCTCTCCCCTGCCTCTCGCTTCGCTTTCCAAGTCCGCGGCTATCGGCTGCATCTCCCCCTCCCTCGTCGCCACTTGCTTACAGTTGTCCTGCGGCTATCGGCTGCTACCCCCCTTCCTCGTCGCCACGGCGTCTACACTCAAGACCTGCGGCTATCGGCTGCTAGCCCCCCTTCCTCGTCGCCGCAGGGGAGCGGCTATCGCTGGGCCCCCCGCACACTGGCAAGAACAGTTGCGGTGGACCCCATGGCCACTGGGTTCCCACTAAGCGGCCACACCTGTCGGCACAGCCAGTGACAGGACGTGTTTCACCGAAGCGGTGGGCCGCGGGGGCTGACTGATGTTACCTCTTGGGGTTGAGGTACACCCCCCACCACCGCGATAGTTCCTACGTTCGCGTGGGCCTTTAGCCCGTACGGCTGGCTGCAATAGTCCCGTCGTCGGTTTGGCCGCCTTGACGGCCCGTGGAGCACCGAGCAGGCTCGCTGAAGGCGTTTTCTCCCCACTTCTCGGCACGCTCCACCCAGTCACTTTGCCCGTGCCGTGTGCGGGCCGGGGCGCTTCGGACGCTGGCCGCGGCCCCTCCGTGTGTCCCATCCTTTGGAGTCGGCTGCACGCTGTGACTTCCACGCCTTCGCTCGCAGGAGCGACTTCCACTTCTGACCCCCATACACATGGGCGTGTAGCCAGTGCGGTCGGCATATATGGACTCACGGTTTGGCCGCTTGCCGGCCCGCGGAGGACAGGGTCGATGGCCAAAGGCACCGCCCTGCCGTCTGAGCTAGATTTTGGCTCTGGCCACAGTTTGTGCCTCCTGGCAGCAGAGGCACCACTCCGCCATGGTACATGCGGTTACCGCGGGCGCCCTCCCCTGTGGTCGGCTGAAATAACCTTATCCAGGCATTGACTGGGAGTGCGGGCCGTGAGGCAGAGGCACTGGCTGAAAGCCTTGCGTCATCTGCCATTGAGAATGCGGCTCAGTGGCCCGACCCCCCTCGGTGGCTTGTGTGTGGCCCGCGTACACGCTGGCTCACGCACTGGGAGTCAAGTGAGTGAATCCGGCACGCTTCCCCCTAGGTTGTGCTGCCCTTCCTTCGCGCCCCCTGGCAGTCGGTACTCCACCTGCGGGTCCAACCTGTTTTCGCCTTCTGCTGGCACACGCTCAGCGGCTGGGCACGCGTTCGGTTCGCTGTCACCCGCGGGCTGAACCGTGGCCGTCTCTTTCTACTTATCTGCAGGTGCACTCTGCGCGATGTCGCGCCAATTATCTGTCGCTGTGCCCCAGCCTCGGTCACACCGCCCTCTGGACTTCTTCTTGCGGGCCGCGAATCAAGGAAAGTACCCCCACCAGTTCTTGGTTTGTGGTTCGGCTGGAGCTTGGCGCCGTAAGGGCGACTTCTCCCTCTCGTTCCGCCGCTGGTACCGTGCCTGCGTCCCCATTTGCTGGGATGACTCCGCCGGCCCCACCAATGAGGGTCATTTTGTCCCTGGCATGTGCACTCGCCTCGGCGGCCTACGCGCCTCTGCGGCCAATTTTCTTTCCCTGGACATCTCCGTGGAGCCGCGAACCAAAAAAGTACCCCCACCAGCACGGTTTGGTCGCCACCTCGGTTTGGGCTAAGTGCGGCGTCCGCCTCTATTCCGCGCGGCCTGCTGTTCAACGTGGTTGCTTCGGGTGCGTGCCTCTCGCCATGGCCTTTTTGGTGCTACTGGCTCATCTACCTCGCGCTACCCGTGCACACGCCGGCCTCTTCGTCGTGGGGTGAGTCCCTCTTCCGCGGCATTTTGGCTGCGCTGCCCCCGCTCGCCCTGTCGTGCTCGTGGCGGGCACGGTCTTCGTTATGTCCTACCTGTGCGGCAAGGTTGGCGCCCCGTTTCCACCCTTTTCTGCGTGTTCTACGGCTTCGGCAAGGCTTCCCGCTCGCCCGGGCAGGGCCTGCTCGGTCTTCGGCGGTACGCGGCCCCGCGTTGCCGTTCCCGTGGCGTTCCTCTTTTTCACGTTCGGCACCGTCCTGGAGGTCTTGGCGCTGCTCCTGCACCCGGCCGCCTCTGAGTTCAGCCTGTTTCGGCGTGCTAGTCGCACTGATGTTCTTTCGCAGGTGGCATGGGCTGCCCCTGCTTGCCCGGCGCCCGACCTGATTTTGCGCCTGGGTACCGAAAAAAGTGCCCCCACCTGCCCATCCCGAAACAACAACTGTTGCAAAACATACTTGCTGTCGTTGTTTTCGGGCGTACATTTTCTTGTCCTCGCAGATACCCTCTTGCCCCTCCCACATCCCACCTGCGCCCTTGTCGTTTTTCCTTGTGGGAGGAGTGGGTGAGGACGAAGCGGAGGAGGAGGAGGAGGAGGAGGAGGAAGAAGAAGAAGAAGAGAAGGCGTTGGGAGGCGAGAGGGGGATAGCGTCGACAACGACGACGACGGCGATAACCACAACAACGACGACGACAACGACGACGACGACCGCGACCACGACAACGACCAGAACGACCCCGCCTGTTCCTTCGCAGCTCTGCCTTGCGAGAGGGGCGAAAGGAGGACGGGGCGTAAGGAGAGGAGGAAAACTACCAGGCAGTGGGAGACGAGAGGGGGATCTATGACCACGACAACGGCAACGACGACGACGACAACGGCGACAACGACGACCACGCCGACAACAACGACTACGACGACTACAACGACGACGACCACAACAACAACAACAACAACAGCGACAACAACAATAACAACAACAACAACATTAACAACAACAATAACAACAACGACGACGACGACGACGACGACGACCGCGACGACGCCGACGACGAAGACGACGACTACGACGACGAGTCAACCATCAATGCCTTCGCTTGGTCTTTCTGTTTGGGAGATTCTTGCGGGCATCTTGGGGCGATCCAAGGACCTCCTTGGGGATTGCTTGGAGGTCTCTGGGCTCTTTTGGTGTCCCCGTGGTGCTTCTTGGGGCACCCTTGGAGTTTTGTCGGGGGGTCGTGGGGTTTGGGGCCCTCTTGCGGCTGTGTTTTTTTTGGGGGGGTCTGGGGGGTCTTTGGGGGCAGTCTTGGAGGCAACGACTCAGGAAGAAGCGCCGCTCGGAACCTGAACCGTTGCCTCTTGGGGCCCTCTAGGGCCGCTCCTTGGGCGCTCTTGGGCGCTCTTGGGCCCGTCTTGGGCCTCTCTGGGGCCTGTTTTGGTGCTCTCTTGGGCCATATTGGGGCAATCTTGAAGCCCCAGAACCCCATTGAAAGCGAAAAGGCGAGAAGGGAAAACACATGGATGTTCCCACAGTTTGTTGAAGAATTTGGGCCTCTCGGGGGCGTCCTTGGGAGGCTCCGTGGTCACTTGGGGCCGTCTTGGGGCGGTTTGGGAGCCTCGTGTAGGCATGTTCGGAGCTATCTTGAGCCATCGAGGGCTATCTTGAGCGATCTTGGAGGTCATGTTGAGTTAATTTGGGTCGTCTTGGCGCTATCTTGGGACAAGTCAGACGCTCCAGCGACCCGCTGCCCCCCCTCCAGGCCCACGGGGCCCAGGGGGAAGGGGTCAGAGGGAGGGGTAAACCCTTCCTCGAACGGGAAGAAGGGGGTCGCCGCGAATCCTCTTCACTGTTGCGTCCTGGCGATCCTGAGTCGCGCCAAGTCACCACACCTGGGACTCCAGCACCGCGAATCAATGTGACTGTCGCGCCCTAAATGTTTTACGTCGTGCCAGAACGCAGTTTCGCGGACGACAGCCATAAGAATCCTGGATGGAATTGCTATCAGATTTTAGGAGAGATGCGGGCGGCACCAAGGCGAGAGCCTCATCATGTGGAAAACGAGCCGCATTTCAGCCGGGAAACTCTTGCAATACTTTAGAACGAATGTGCGCGACGCTGAGACCGGAGCCACATTTTGGAAACAACCCGCGCTCCATCCATGAAGTTGCTGAGAGCATCACGCTTAATGATCATAAGTGGTAAAGAAGTATTCGGCGAAATGCCCAACCAACCTACCGACACGTCGCGGCGTGCGACAAGGAGGGAGTTTGTTATGAGGAAGAGTGACGGCGAGGGGTTAGGAGGCAAGGGACAGCAGGAAGGGAGGCGGTGGCAGGAGATGAAGAAAGAGGACGAGGAGCAAGGCGAGCAGGGTTGAGGAGGCGGAGGAGGCTGCACTGCTTGAGGATGCGTTGCTGTCATGTGCGCCTCCGTCTGTTGGTCTTCCGGGCAGAGATGAGGGCAGAGGGGGACGAGGGCAGAGAGGGAGGGCAGAGAGGGACGAGCAGGGGCGAGGACGAGGAAGGGGCAGAGAGGGACGAGCAGGGGCGAGGACGAAGAAGGGGCAGAGAGGGACGAGCAGGGGCGAGGACGAGGAAGGACGGCTGACCAGAGAGACGCACGACGGTGGCGCACCGGGGCGCAGGGGCAGGAGGAGCCGGGCGGGCGGGCGAAGGGCACGCGCGGAGGCGTCGGGGGGGAGAGGAGGGCACGAGCGGAGGCGAGGGCGGGCGAGATGTGCCGCTCGTCAGAGGAGGAAGAGGTACCCAATGCCTCTACCCTTCGCCCGGTCTTCCCCTTGCTGACCCTCCACGGAGGCCCTCGTCACCACCGCCGGGTTCGCCTCGAAGCTCTGGTCAGAACGCACCCCAGGAGAGGTCCAGGGGGTGGCGGTGTCGGTGCCCTTCGGTCTCCCCGCCGGCGCGCTGGTGACCGTCCAGAGCCCTGCGGAGACCCCGCCGATCTCTCGGTGACCTTCTGAGCTGGGGCCTTCCCGGGCCCCCCGCGAGATCACCGACCTGCTCCGCCGCGTCCCTCCTCTTGCCCCTTCCTGCTCCTCCTCCTCCTCCTCTCCTCCTCCTCCTCCTCCTCCTCATCCTCCCCCTCCTCCTCTCCTCCTCCTCCTCCTCCTCCTCCTCCTCCTCCTCATCCTCCCCCTCCTCCTCCTCCTCCTCCCTCCTCCTCGCCCCCTCCTCCTCCTCCTCCTCCTCCTCCTCCTCCTCCTCCTCCTCCCTCCTTGCTTCCTCCTCGCCCCGCCCAGCTCCGGGGCGCGGTGCTGCGCGGCGTCCAGCCGCCCGCGGCCAACGGCGTCTCGAGCCCGGCGTCGCCCTGGCCCGCCCGCCTCCGCCGCGCGGCACCGCGTCGCCGCCGCCGTCGTTTCGTCGCCGTCGTTGCGCTGCCGCCGTCACTGCGCGTCGTCGCCGTCGCGTCGGCGTCTCGGGGGGGGCAGAGAGGGGGTGATGACTAGGGGGGGGTGGATGTCATGGCGCGGGCCAGGATCTTTCCCCAGATTTCATGGCGCCTCTGCTTATTTCATTACGTCCCTGGCCCCCCCGATGGGCCGCGCACATGCCGCCGGTCATGATTTGCACCCCCCCCTCTTGGACACCCCCCCGCTTGGCCGCTTCCGAGCGTTGCGGTCTGTGGCGTCGTCGTCGCCGATTCGCCGAGGGGGATTGAAGATCGGGCTCGCCGTCGTCGTGGATATATATAAGTTGTAAATTTAATACATATATACAGAGAGAGAATTAGAGAGAGAGAGAGAGAGAAAGATGGGGAGAGACACAGATAAAGAGACAAACAACAAGCAAGAGAGATAACGAGAGAGAAAGAGAGAGAGCGAGAGAGAAAGAGAGAGAGAGAGAGATCGCCACGTATGGGGCGACAAGTCGTCCAGGCCCCCAGGCCGCATGTGCCAGACAGGCCTTCCTCGCAAAACGGGATGCGCCGCAGATGGAACACGGGTGGTGGGATAACCTCCCCCGTGGGGCGGATTCAAGGGGTCCCCGTCTGGAAAAAAAATACGGGCGGCGGTAACCAGACCTCTCGAAGGCCCGTCGGCGCCACCGTGCAGAGAGGCACCAGCTTTTAGCACCCTCGGCGCCAAGGGAAGAGCGGCGCCGCCTTGGGCCATCCCCAGCAGCGGCCCACAAGGGACGGACGGCGGAACAGTTCCAGCAAGTCGCGAGGCCCGACGCAGAAGGGGACCACTGGAGTGCTGCGCTCTGAGCGCCAAGGAAGTATTGGAGGTTGCCGTGGACGTGGAGGGATGCCCCAATGGCCGCAGCAGGCCTGAAAGGGCTTCTGCAGGCCGCTCCAAACCTGTTTGCGCACGGTGGCACCCGTCGATCGGCGGCGCAGATTGCTTTTCGATCTGGTGGAGAGAGGCGACCCGCGGATTGGCTCGCCGGTGGAGCGCGTGAGTGCCGGCGGCGGGAGCTGCTTCGCACCTCTCTGTTTTGCTGGCCGAGAGCCGCCGTGAGGTGTTTTGCGTGACGACATGCCTGCGGTCCGCGCGCTGCGCGATGCCGCAGGCGCGGTGGCCGTCACCCCGGGCCTCGCGGCCATCCCGTCGGATCTCTGGTGGGGTGGATGGAGGGGGGGCCTTGGCATCGCTCGGACGTGTGCATTTTTCCTGGCGAGGGCCATCGAGGTTCATTCTGGACCATCGAGGAAAAAAAAGACGCACGAAACCGGAAAATGCACGGGAAATGGACGTCCGGGCGATGGCAAGGGGCGCGCTGAGATGGAAGTCGTGGGTGGCCTCCTAGGCGTGGAGCGGCCGCGCGTTTGCCGTCTCGTCAGGGTGGCCCCCGGCACTGTAGCTCTGGCCAAGGGGGTGGCCAAGTGGAAGGGAGCCCCGAACCTCAGCGGGTCGAGACCATCAGCTTCGAAGTCGTCGGCGGCTTGGGGTCAAGGCTCGTCGAGTGCGCCAAAGTTCACCGAGCGCGTTCCACTACTCGTAAAGTGCCTACTCGCAAACGTCAGAAAAAAAACGCGTCCCTGCTTCGATGTATTTGATCGTAGATCCCGCGCGGCGGATCGAGGCCATTTGCGAGTAGTTATTTTTGCAAGTAGTGGAACGCGCTCGTCTAACAGTTTTCAGGGCCTGGTTGCCTGGTCATCGGAGGTGGTCTTCCTTGCGCACCTGTACCCCGCCCTCCCTGTCCGTCTAGTAGTGAGCGGGTGTGGTTCCATTTTGGCGAGTTCAGACTTGGAGTACCCTTCTCCTGTGGGACAGGGCGGGCGCACGGTGCCGCTGGTCCTATATGGGGACGGCAATGTTGTCGAGTACAGCGGCGATTTGTTGGCGCCATCTAGCGGCCTCCACCACGTTTGCGGGCTGCAGTGTGGTCTCGCCCCCGCGGTAGCGAGTTCTTCGGCGTGGGGCCTCAAGCTGCAGCGGCAGGCGTGCTGCCGCCTTCGTTGATGCCTTGTTCACCCAGGTGGTTTTCAACTTTTTGGCGGCGCGCAGAGGGGGGTAGGGGGAGGGGGGAAAGGCTTCTTAGAAGGAGGCTGCTTCTTAGAAACCGCGGGCCTTACATTTACAGACAAGGCCCGCGCCTTCTAAGAAACAGGGGTGCTTCTAAGAAGCCTTCCCCCCTCGCCCTGCCCCCCTCTGCGAGTTCTTCGGCGTGGGGTCTCAAGCTGCAGCGATAGGCGTGATGCCGCCTTTGTTGATGCCTTATTCCCCTAGGTGTTGTTTTTTTTCAACTTTTCTGGTACTCTGAACAAGTCTGGTCCCGCCCGCAGAAACACCCAGTGGATTTTCTGCGAACGTTCCGATTGCGGCCCCCCACGCGCGGCGGTGGCTCGCCCCGCAGGGGGTCTCCGAGCCCGTCGACGACACTCCTGCATGTGCCTTGCAGTGGAGGCCCATGCCAAGAAGCACCCTTCGCAGGCCTAAATATTGACACCAACACCGATATCGGCGTTGTGCATCCACCGAGGGACAAAGATCCCGATCTCGGTGATGGTGGTAATATTCGGGCTTCCAAGGTCACCAAAGTATTACCACCAACGCCGAAATCTAGGATCATCTTCCCTCTGTGGAGGAAAACCCTCTGTGTTGGTGTTGGTGCCCATTCCCAGGCCTCCAAACCCTGCGTGCCTCCAGGGTGCCCTGGGTTTCTTGGGCTTCGATGGTTTTGCTGTGGAAGGCGGGACGTCCCCACACCAAAAGGCAATGGACGCCCTGGGGTCTCGGGGTTGGGTTTCTTGTGGAAGGTTTCTTGTGGACTGGCCTCCACTGCATGTCTTGCTGAATCTCCTGGCGTGCCAGCGGCTCAGCCACACCCAACTCCGCCACGGGACCTGCTCTGTCGCGGTGCTGTCCGCCCCCTTTCTCTTGGTATCGCTCGGACGTGTGCACTTCTTCTCGGCGAGGATTATCGAGGAGCATCCTGGCTCCTGCCCTCCGAGAGGCGCGCTGCAGCAAAGGCGGCGTCCGCCGAGGCAGCCCTTTGCCGCATGCCGGGGCGGATGACGTGCTCGCACGCCGCGACCCGTCGCCTGCGGGCCCTCGCGCGGCCCACCCCCCGCAGCGCCTCGGCCCCGGCACGGCGCCGCCCGCTCGGCGCGGCCGCCTCTCCCCCAGGGGTGGCCCCGGCTCGGGAGCGCCGCGGCGTGCAGTGGAGGCCAGTGCCAAGAAACACCTTGCTCGCCTCTAGGGTTGAGTCCTGCCTGTCCCTCTACAGGGGGAATATTCAAAAATAGTCAAAAATAGTCAGGGGACCGTGTTTTTGAGTATGTTTGCGTTGTCTTTTAAAAAATAGTTAGAGAGTTTTTATATATATATATATAAACAAAATTATCCTGGCGAAAGACCCAACCATAAGCAATTGTTGGTAACGCGTTGTGGGTGCCGCTTTCGGTGGGGCTCCATATGGGGCCACGAAGCGCTGCCTTGGATGGGGGAACCGCATGCGGACTGCGCCACCGGGGCGGGCCTTCGGTGGAGCTCCCTATGGGGCTACGAAGCGCTGCCCTGGGTGGGGGAACCGCATGCGAACTGCGCCACTGGGGCCTTCGGTGGAGCTCCCTATGGTGCCACGAAACGCTGCCCTGGGTGGGGGAAGCGCATGCGAACTGCGCCACGGGGGCTTTCGGTGGAGCTCCCTATGGGGCCACGAAGCGCTGCCCTGGGTGGGGGAACCGCATGCGAGAGCAGCCACTGGGGCCTCCGGTGGAGCTCCCTATGGGGCCACGAAACGCTGCCCTGGGTGGGGGAACCGCATGCGAACACCCCCACTGGGGCCTTCGGTGGAGCTCCCTATGGGGCCACGAAACGCTGCCCTGGGTGGGGGAACCGCATGCGAACACCCCCACTGGGGCCTTCGGTGGAGCTCCCTATGGGGCCACGAAACGCTGCCCTGGGTGGGGGAACCGCATGCGAACACCCCCACTGGGGCCTTCGGTGGAGCTCCCTATGGGGCTACGAAACGCTGCCCTGGGTGGGGAACCGCATGCGAACACCCCCACTGGGGCCTTCGGTGGAGCTCCCTATGGGGCCACGAAACGCTGCCCTGGGTGGGGGAACCGCATGCGAACACCCCCACTGGGGCCTTCGGTGGAGCTCCCTATGGGGCTACGAAACGCTGCCCTGGGTGGGGGAACCGCATGCGAACACCCCCACTGGGGCCTTCGGTGGAGCTCCCTATGGGGCACGAAACGCTGCCCTGGGTGGGGGAACCGCATGCGAACACCCCCACTGGGGCCTTCGGTGGAGCTCCCTATGGGGCTACGAAACGCTGCCCTGGGTGGGGGAACCGCATGCGAACACCCCCACTGGGGCCTTCGGTGGAGCTCCCTATGGGGCCACGAAACGCTGCCCTGGGTGGGGGAACCGCATGCGAACACCCCCACTGGGGCCTTCGGTGGAGCTCCCTATGGGGCTACGAAACGCTGCCCTGGGTGGGGGAACCGCATGCGAACACCCCCACTGGGGCCTTCGGTGGAGCTCCCTATGGGGCCACGAAACGCTGCCCTGGGTGGGGGAACCGCATGCGAACACCCCCACTGGGGCCTTCGGTGGAGCTCCCTATGGGGCCACGAAACGCTGCCCTGGGTGGGGGAACCGCATGCGAACACCCCCACTGGGGCCTTCGGTGGAGCTCCCTATGGGGCTACGAAACGCTGCCCTGGGTGGGGGAACCGCATGCGAACACCCCCACTGGGGCCTTCGGTGGAGCTCCCTATGGGGCCACGAAACGCTGCCCTGGGTGGGGGAACCGCATGCGAACACCCCCACTGGGGCCTTCGGTGGAGCTCCCTATGGGGCTACGAAACGCTGCCCTGGGTGGGGGAACCGCATGCGAACACCCCCACTGGGGCCTTCGGTGGAGCTCCCTATGGGGCACGAAACGCTGCCCTGGGTGGGGGAACCGCATGCGAACACCCCCACTGGGGCCTTCGGTGGAGCTCCCTATGGGGCTACGAAACGCTGCCCTGGGTGGGGGAACCGCATGCGACACCCCCACTGGGGCCTTCGGTGGAGCTCCCTATGGGGCCACGAAACGCTGCCCTGGGTGGGGGAACCGCATGCGAACACCCCCACTGGGGCCTTCGGTGGAGCTCCCTATGGGGCTACGAAACGCTGCCCTGGGTGGGGGAACCGCATGCGAACACCCCCACTGGGGCCTTCGGTGGAGCTCCCTATGGGGCCACGAAACGCTGCCCTGGGTGGGGGAACCGCATGCGAACACCCCCACTGGGGCCTTCGGTGGAGCTCCCCATGGGGCCACAAAGCGCTGCCCTGGGTGGGGGAACCGCATGCGAACACCCCCACTGGGGCCTTCGGTGGAGCTCCCTATGGGGCTACGAAACGCGTGAGAGGTGTGCCGAGAGCAGAGGCAAGGAGGGGGAGGAGGGAGGAGGGGGAGGAGGAAGGAGGAGGGGAACGCGGGGCACCGTCTCTTCAAAACGAGGACCCAACACCACAGGATGGTTGGGAAAAAACGTCCAACATCCCCCTGTCGGAGGAAACGCCCGACTTAACTCTAGGGTGCCCTGTTTTTTTTGGGGGGGGTCGATGGTTTTGCCATGGACAGCGTGACGCTCCCACACCAAAAGTCGGTGGACGTCCTGGAGTCTTGGGGTTGGGCTTCTTGTGGAAGATCTCTTGTGGACAGGGCTCCACGGCATGTGGTTTTGCCATGGACAGCGTGACGCTCCCACACCAAAAGTCGGTGGACGTTCTAGGGTTTTTGGATTGGGCTTCTTGTAGAAGGTCTCTTGTGGACTGGCCTCCACGGCATGTGGTTTTGCCATGGACAGCGTGACGTTCCCACACCAAAAGTCGGTGGACGTCCTGGGGTCTTGGGGTTGGGCTTCTTATGGAAGGTCTCTTGTGGACTGGCCTTCACGGCATGCGGTTTTGCCATGGACAGCGTGACGTCCCCACACCAAAAGTCGAGGGACGTCCTGGGGTCTGGGGGCTGGGCTTCTTGTGGAAGGTCTCTTGTGGCCTGGCCTCCGCTGCAGGCTCGGCGACAGCAGCCGCTGACCCCTCGCGCTCCCTCTCGCTCTGCTTCTCCTCAATCCGCGTCCCGGACCGGGCTCCCGGCTTCGAAGCACGAGCAGCTTGACGTATAGGATAGGCTCGGGCACTGCACTCATGGACCCGTCGCACTCTCTTGCCCTCTCGTTCTGCTTCGGTCCCCAGGCCTCCCCCGTGCGCAGCCGCGTTCGCTTGGCCATCCCAAGGTGCAGTAGGCTTGAGGGGGCCGTCGGACCAGCCAAACAGACGACCAGAAAGGCCAGGAGCAAGCCAATCGTTTGTTTACTTCTTATATGAACAGGATGTCTGTAAGGGTTCTGCATAAGTTGTCTACGAACTGATAGGTGCGCTCTCGGATCGGGAAGCGGTGGGTGACGTTGCCTCCTGTGGACTCCCATGGACTCCCATGGCCGCCCGTTGCCTCCCGTGGCCTCTCGTTGCTTTCATCCGTATCTTCGTCCCGATCCCTAATTTGTCTTGTATCTCCAGCCCGGGATCCCTACCCCTATCCCTATCCTCATCCCGATCCTATCCCTATCCTCATCCCTATCCCTATCCCTATCCCTGTCCCTATCCCTATCCTCATCCCTATCCTCATCCCTATCCCCTACCCCTATCCCTATCCCTATCCCTACCCCTGCCCCTATCCTCATCCCGATCGTCCCGTCGCGGCCTCCCATCGTGACCCGCCGTTGTGGCCCCCATCGGGACTGTTCAAAGCTGTTGTGGGCCTTCTGCCACCAGGAATCACATCTGCCTCCAGAGGGTCTACTTGGTTGTCTCTGGGCCTTCCTGGCTAATCAAGGGCGCCCTCGAGGGCGCGAAGTTATTCGCGCTTCGCGCTTCTCGGTTCGGCTCCCATTCCTCCTCCTCCTCCTCTTCTCCCCTGGGAGGCGGCGCGAGAGCGCGAAGTTATTCGCGCTTCGCGCAGCGCGAAGCGCGAAGTTGGGAGCCCTTGCTAACAGAATGGCCAGCCGAGCCGCGTGTTTCGCCCGACCGCCGCGGGAACGACTGCGCGGATCCTCGCGCAAGCAAGCTGCCCACGTCGGGCCTCGCAGGAGCGACCTCTCCTCTCCGGGATTTGCGCAGTGTCGGCGGCCAGCTTTACGAAGGCGGTGGCAGTCCTTCACCGCCCACCAAACGACCCCAACCCAACCCGAAGGCTCAGATTTACCCTCGATTTCCAGTGGGGGGGGGTCGGGAAACATCGAAAAAACTCGTGTGGAACCCTTATCCCCCCCAACCCGAAATTCGGGTCTTCGGGTTGGGTTGGGGTGGTCTGGTAGGTAGTCAGTCCTGGCAGCTTCCCTGCTCTTCGATGAAAGTTTTCCCAGGAGCCTCCGAGCCCGCCCCAGGCCCGAGGCCCCGTGCCTCAGCTCCTTGCCGAGCCCATCGCCCTGCCCCCGCGCAAGACACGTTCCCGGACCCGTGCCGGTACAGTCGGGGCGTTGAAGAAGGAACCCTTTTCGTTGGGGAGGGGCTCGGCGTTCCTTGATTGTTTCGCAGCTTGCCTCAGGTTCTCCTTAGGTTTTCGATGGGGAACCGAAATTTAAGTTATGGAAACAAAAGGGGCCCCGTTCCTTATTTAGGGTTCCTTGGGTCAACGCCCCGACTGTGCCCACCCCGGCATCTGTGCTCGAGCTGCGTCCGCTTGGGGCGACGAGGATGGCCAGACACGCCCAAGCATCAGGAGCAGCAGCAAAGGGGATGGGCTCAGGCTTAGTGGGCCCTGGAAACGACAGGGGCGTTTTTGTACAGGTTCCATTTTGCCGTTTTTGTTGCCGGTTCCGTCGCCGTTTTTTGACCGTTTCCGGCTCAGGTTCCAATCCTGGAGCCGTTTTTTTGCCGTTTCCGGTCTCCGTTTTTTTGCCGTGTCCATTTTCAAGGGGCCTTTTTTGGGAAACGGTGAAAGCACGGCCTTGCCGTTTCCAAGGCCTCAGGTGGGAATGCATCGGCCCCCATCGCCCGTTCACTCCCAAGATCGGCATGAGAACCACCCCGCCCAGGAAGGTTCGGCTTCGCCATCGAGAGCCTGTCGCCCACCCTGTCGGCGATGCATCGCGTATTCGAGGACGTTGTGCCCTCCCTGGGCTCTCAGGCCAGGGTCTGGTCGAGGAGCCAGCCTACGGAGGCCCATCGCCCCGCAAGCGGAGACGGAGGGCGTAAGACGATACGGCAACAACAGCGCACATGCGAGAGATGATGGGCGGATTGGGCCACAGTGCAATAACTATCGTTCTGATTGCCCCCCCCCCCAAGAGCTGACACGTCGGCTCACTGCCCCATTGCCACTGGCGAGCCGCCAATTTCCGTACGCGGAACGCGGTCCCCCTCCGCGCTTCAGTCGGCTGCCTCTGTGCCAGGACCAGCTCGCAGCGGCAGTCGCTGCAGCGGGGCTACAGCCCGACGTCTCCTGGGTCATCCCCAGAGGCGAGCCGCGCTGCCCCGCCCAGCCAGCCCTTTTGCAAGAGCAGCGCCGACTCAGCCGCGCACGATCGGCGACTCGCCGTGAAGCAAGACTGTCCTGAGGTAAACGGGTCCTGAGGCTTGAGCTTGTTCGCCATGTCTGTGCCACGATGATGTGATGATATGGTGATGACGATGATGGTGATGATGATGATGATGTTGATGATGATGATGATGATGCTGATGATGATGATGATGCTGATGATGATGATGATGATGATGATGATGATGGTGGTGATGGTGATGGTGATGGTGATGATGATGATGCTGATGAGGATGAGGATGAGGATGAGGATGAGGATGAGGACGATGAGGAGGAGGAGGAGGAGGAGGAGGAGGAGGAGGAGGAGGGTGATGGGGATGGGGATGGGGATGGGGATGGGGATGATGGGGATGATGGGGATGGTGGGGATGATGGGGATGGGGATGGGGATGGTGATGGTGATGGTGGTGGAGATGGTGATGGCGATGTTGTTGATGCTGTTCGCCATGCCCGCGCCTCTCGAGACATGTTCCCTGCCCTGGGGGGCCGCCACGGAGCGAAACTTTCCCAGATTTCATGGCGCCTCTTCTTATTCCATTACGTCCCTGGCCCCCCCCCCCTGGGCCGCGCACATGCCGCCGGCCATGATTTGTACCCCCCCCTCTTGGACGCCCGCCTCTTTTGCCGCTCCCGAAAACAGCACGAGTTGGTCAGTGCTTCTTCGTATTGGCCGCCGAGGTTCTGGACCCCGGCGTCTTCGAAGGAGGATCGGGACGAAAACGCGATATCGGGGTAGGGATCGGGAGTGGGTTGACAAAGGCCCTTTCAGTTCATGGTAATGGCAATCGACCATGTCCTGGTTGTCAAGATGCAGTGAGACCAGTCCCCCATGATTTGAAAGCGAAGTGCAATCCACCACATTCCCACTCGTTCGGATTGCTCTGTGCCTGGGTGCAGTTCCGATCAAGACGCTCCGGGATTTTTTTGGCTCATTGTTGCCCCGCGAATTTTGAAGACCAACTTGATGTTGTTCATTCCGTGCGCTTCCCTCGTCATCATCCTATGATTGCGCTCCCGCTTTTCTCTGCCCCGTCCTTCCATTGCTGTTGTTCCTCCTTCTCCCTAACTTTCCTCCCGGCCTAAACTATCTCGCCTGTTTCATGGCCCCGCCTTATACTCCTCTTCCTCATGCTTCCTTCCCTCTCTTGATCCTTCCTCCTCCCCCCCACCTCATCATCCATTTTGTCCTCCCCGATTCACTCTATAAGTCCCCAGGAGCCTTTCAGAGGGCTCCTCTTCACCGCAGCATCCACCCCCAACCCCCACTCGTTGTCATCATCTGTTTCGTTCTCCTTCTTCTCGTACTTCCTTCCTTCACGACCACTTGCACTGTGGACCCCCCTCCCCTACTGAAACCTAAGCAAGCGATACTACTTGCCCCAAGAGTCTTCAACACAAAGCAGACTGCATCCCCCCTCGTCATTTGTCTTCGCCCACCAATCATCACGGTTTCCTCCCATCTCTTTGACAACGCTCTTCTCACCCTCCTCCCGCAACCAACCCCTCCTCCCGCCTCTACTACCCCCCTTTCCCTCATCCCTCCGCCCTCCTCCCTCTCCTCCTTCACCCCTCCTGTCTTCTCCCCTGCTGTCCGCCAAATAGTAGGGCCCATGTATTAACTTGTCCTCCCTCTCCCTTCCCCTCCCTCGCTGGTGGGAGGTGGGAGGGATGGATGGAGGGAGGGAGATTCAGCAGGTGGATGGTTAGGAGGACGGAAGTCGGAGCATGGGGATGGGGAGCGAGGAACTGGATGATGAGGACAGGCTGCAGGAGGCGAGGGAGAACGACGCACCGCAGGAGGAGCTGGAAAACGAGGAGCAGCAGGAGTTTTTTTGTTTTTACCCCCGTGCGTGGTTCTGGACGCCCGAAATGGGTACGGAAAGAATGGGTACAGTGCCCAACAGCAGTTCCTGTTCATTTTGAACCGGACTCGCTGTCGGTGTCGCCGCGGCCTGTGTCCATTTGAGACAGAAGGCCGCCTGCCCAGCAGCGGTCGCTGTTGGTTTGGGACAGCATTTGCTGTTGGGCATTGTGCCCAGTCCTTCAGTGCCCATTTCGGGCGTCCAAAGTGGTGGCAGCGAGAGCTGTCGGCTGCAGCGGGCCCCGCCGCACGTCGCCCGGGGCCGGCGAACTCCCGAGGCCGGCGACGCGCCGCGCGGACGGGTCGGCGGACGGAGAGCGCCCCGAGCGCCCGCGGGCGGCGGCCTGCCAGGGTCAAACGACGCGAAGATCGGGACAAAATCGGATCGGGATAACTCGAAATCTCTGAGATTCGGCGGGTTTGGAGGATGTATTGGGCGCCGCGGCCGCTCCAGCGCGTTCCGGAACGCTCTGAGAGCGCTCCGGAACGCTCTGGAGCGATTTATCCCGATCCTAGCCCTGTTTTACAGGGCCCCGGGCGCGGGCGCCGACGGGGGCGTGCGCCGGCTGCGCCCTGCAGGGCTATGATGTTCCAGCCTGCTTTGGCCTCTCTTGATCACCAGGAAGAGTGTCGAGCACCAGAAAAAAATATACCGAGAATGGAGGGGGTTTTCACGTGTCGGGCCTTGGCCACCAGGAAGAATGTCGAGCACCAGAAAAGAGTACCGAAAGTGGAGGGTTTTCGCGCGTCGGGCCCTGGGAGACCCTCTCGCTCGACGCCGTTTCGGCACCATTGTTCGACACTCTTCGGGATGCTCGAAATGATTATTCCTAGAGTGTGGTCCTCAACTACGATGGGAACAACATAACCCCGGGGTGCGGAGCGCCGAGGGGGGCGTGCGCCGAGGGGGTGCGGAGCGCCGAGGGGGGCGTGCGCGCCGAGGGGGTGCGGAGGCGCCGAGGGGGGCGTGTGCGCCGAGGGGGTGCGGAGGCGCCGAGGGGGGGCGGAGCGCCGAGAGGGGGTTTGCGGAGCGCGCACGCCCCACGCCCCGCGGGGGCGGCCCGCCCCAATAGAGGGCATCCGGGCCGCGCCCCCGCAGCCCCACCGCGGGGAAGCCAGCACGGACTCTTCGTACCGCTCGGACGTGTGCACTTTTTTCTCCGCGGGGGTTATTAAGGAGCCTCCTTGATCATTTGGCGAAAAAGCCGCGCACGAAACCGAAAAAACACAGGAAATGGACGTCCGAGCGATGGGGAGGACTCGGGAAGGGACAAACACACTTTTTTGATCCGCGGGTCGAGAGCGCACCTCTTCTGGTCGAAGCCAAGCGGGCCGCGCGAAGCCTGGATTAGCAGAGAGGGGGGGACAGAAGGAGCGCGGCCTCACGGCGAGGCCAGGAGGAGGCGAAGCCTCGGGATCGGGCAGTGCCGAAGACAATGTGCCTGCAACGGAACGGCTTGGACCGGAGCTCGGCAGGGGAACGCGATGAATGGTGGATCTTCGGGAAGATGTAAGAACATGTAGGAAGTGGGGGGGGGGGGAAGACGCAGACCCAGAGCATAGATTTACACATGTAGGGGGATCGGGGGATCCTGGGATTTGCCGCTGGATCCCGCTCTTAAGCCCGCTCTGTAGCAAGCCCGCTCGGCGAGGGGCACGGCGCCCCGCTGGGCGGAGGGCGCGCCGAGGCCGGGAGGCCGCCGAGGGCCGACGAGAGCGCCCGAGAGAGCCTCGGAGCTCCGCCGGCCCTCCTCGGAGGCTCCCCGCGCCGCCCGCGGCCACCGCTGCATCGTGGGCTTATGTACTGCAGGTTCGCGTCGTGTCGACCGGCGGCGACCCCAGCGCGGGCGTTCAAGGTTGAACGCCGGCGGCGGCCCAGAATCGGTCGATGTTGAAGAATCGGACGTCTCGGCAGCGGCCGATCGTTCAAGGTTGAACGATCCAGCGCGGTGTCAAAAACCAAAGCCAGGGTCGGCACGACACGAACCTGCCGTATGTATGTGTCCTTGGGCCCCTCTACAGGCGCCCCCCGACCGGCCCGGGCGGTCCCGAAGGGCCCTATACGGGCGGAGCGGAAGCCCCCCAGGAGCCAGGAAGGCCAAGAAGGCAAGACTCAGAAGCCAAGGAGCCCCAAACAAAACATACATAAAACATAATAATAAAAAAAACACAAAAAACAAAAACAAAAAAAACACAAAAAAATACCCCCCCAAAAAAAAACAAAAAAAAAACAAAAAAAACAGGGGCCCAGAGGGGGCGCACCGCAAGAGCATCTGCGACGCCTGGTCGCCGAAAGGCACGGCGGCGATGCCGCTCATCTTCACCTTCTTGGCCTTCTTGGCCAGCTGGTTCGCCGTGCCGAAGCATTTTTGCCTTCGCCTCTGCCGTCTGGAAGCGGCCGTGGCTGGAATCGCCCGTCGTCTCTTCGCGGCTCTCCTCGAGAGCTGCGGTGAGGGCGCTGTGGATTTCTCTGCCGCCGCCAGGAGGATTTGTTCAGCTCCTGGATGTCGGCGGGCGTGATCTGTGCCACATCGACTGCTCGAACGCCTCCTGCAGGGTGGGCTTGCCCGTGCCCTTCACGTCCTGTTGTTGGAGGTCCCCGATGCCCTCGTCCATGTCGTCCGCGATGTCGGAGCTCTTGTTCTTGATGCGCACCATGCGCACCACGTGTTCGCCAGGCGGGTCCGCCTTCTCCGCCGAGGGGTGGGCCATGTGCAACGGCCCTGCCTGTACCGACGAGTCCTCCTTCACGAGCGCGTCCTCGTGCGGGTCCTCCTCGCCGTCCTCGAATTTGTGCTCGTCGTGCAGTTTCTTCTCTAGCTGCGGGGTGTTGGCGCTCTGGTTGGGGAGCGTGGCATCGGCGTCGTGGCCTGCAACGCCGCCGTCGTTGGCCCTCCCCACCTGCGTGCTGAGCGCATGCAGCAAAACCTCGAAGAACGTCTGCGCTTTGACAGCGTCGAAGTGCCGCTGCACGTGGAAGGTGATGTCCAGCCTCTCAAGCTGCTTGGCAGTGGTCTTCTCAATCCTGCCCTGTCGCCTCGCATGGCGCGCGGCGATCGTGAGGCCCTCAAAGCCGGCCTGCAAACCTTGGCACGGTGCCCGTAGCGCGAGGCCGTGGAGGTCGCTCACCACAGCCGCCGTCGACGAGCCCACCACTGCCATCGGAGCGAAACGAGAACTCCAGCGGGAGACTGCCGCAATGCCAGCGCAGGGGGCCCTGTCGTCTTGATGTAAAAATGGCTGCGGAGGAGCAGCGGGAGGGGGAGGCACCGCGGGAGGAGCGGGGGGGGGGAGGGGGGGAAGGGGGCGTGGAGGAGAAGAGGAGGAGGAGGAGGAGGGCGCACGGAAGTGGGAGGGGGACACGACAGCATAGGGCGCTCTTCCCCATGCCCCCCTCCTCCCCCCCGGCGCGCCCGTGCAGGCCTCGCGGTTGCCCTCGCCCTTGCCCTCGCCTGCGGTTCGCGGGGCGGCAAAGGGGAGGGGGAGGAGGAATGAGATCCGGACATGGAGTTCCATGAGTACGAGGAGAAGTAAGAGGAGGAGGAGTGAGGGAGGAGGAGGAGAAGGAGAGAGGAGGAGGAGAGGAGGAGGAGGAAGGAGGAGGAGGAGAGAGGAGGAGGAGGATGAGGAGTGGAGGGAGGAGGAGGAGGAGGGAGGAGGAGGAGGAGGAGGAGGAGGAGGAGGAGGAGGAGGAGGAGGAGGAGGAGAAGAAGAAGAAGCGCCATCACGATGTGATATTCTGAAACCGAAACTGCCGCCACTCAGAGGACGAAGAACGGGTGGAAGATGTAGAGGAGGACGCAATACCCCATCATCAGAGCTTTCACACAGACCTCGACTGGCAACAAAAGCACATCCGGAGAGCAACGGGTTAAGCTGGTATGAATTCAATCCAATATGGCCCTGCCCGAGAATGAAAGCGCGGAGCAAAATTCCAAGCGGCCACCACCTCGAGCATTGTCAGGCAACCCCACCCATCTCGTAAGAATAGGGATCATCTCCTCCACAGCCAGCCTCGCCCCTGCAAACAGAAACGCGCCTCACAAACGAAAATTGAATACACCACTGCGAATGACCAGTGCGCACAAAAGACCAGCCAACAGCGATGAATGCCCCGCAACTGTGCCGCCAGAAGTACCGCGAAAGCCCAAGCCCCGACCGGGATACACCCCCCGTGCGGGTTTGGGGGAATGCGACACTAAAGCTGACGAAACCTGCGGACGGAAACAAAAATTATGATGAACACGCCAATGACAAGGAAAACCAGGAACAAGCACTGACCTGTGAAGAAAATCACCCGGCAAAAGATGTGCCCGACCCGATCTGTCAGTGTCAAGTGGCCCCCCATCCCGTAGAACGCGATACTTTCCCCGCTTAGCCATCCTCCTCGGTGTCCACCAGCACACGTCAGAGGAGCCACCCAAGCGCCGCGATGAGTCGCGGGGAAGGAAGGGCCATGGCCAAGCGAGTTGGAGCCAAAATATCCGACGCGCCCCAGGGCCCCCCCGCGTGCTTGAGGGAGGAGGAGGAGGAGGAGGAG